ACATGGACAATACCCCATACTGACATTTACCCACGTTGACTTTGCCAAAACTGACATTTACCCACATGGACAATACCCCAAACTGACATTTACCCACGTGGACAATACTCCATACTGACATTTACCCACATGGACTTTGCCCCAAACTGACATTTACCCACATGGACAATACTCCATACTGACATTTATCCACATGGACAATGCCCCAAACTGACATTTACCCACATGGACAATACACCATACTGACATTTACCCACATTGACAATACTCCATACTGACATTTACCCACATGGACAATGCCCCAAACTGACAATTACCCACATGGACGATACTCCAAACTGACATTTACCCACATTGACAATACTCCATACTGACATTTACCCACATGGACAATACCCCAAACTGACATTTACCCACATGGACAATACTCCATACTGACATTTACCCACATGGACAATACTCCATACTGACATTTACCCACATGGACAATACCCCATACTGACATTTACCCACATGGACAATACCCCAAACTGACATTTACCCACATGGACAATACTCAATACTGATATTTACCCACACGGACAATACCCCATGCTGACATTTACCCACATGGACAATGCCTCAAACTGACATTTCCCCACATGGACAATACTCCATACTGACATTTACCCACATGGAAAATACTCCATACTGACATTTACCCACATAGACAATACTCCATACTGACATTTACCCACATGGACAATACCCCATACTGACATTTACCCACATGGACAATACCCTATACTGTCATTTACCCACATGGACTTTGTCCCAAACTGATATTTACCCACATGGACAATACCCCAAACTGACATTTACCCACATGGACAATACTCCATACTGACATTTACCCACATGGACATTACTCCATACTGACATTTACCCACATGGACAATACCCCAAACTGACATTTACCCACATGGACAATACTCCAAACTGACATTCACCCACATGGACAATGCCCCATACTGACATTTACCCACATGGACTTTGCCCAAAACTGACATTTACCTACATTGACAATACCCCAACCTGACATTTACCCACATGGACTTTGTCCCAAATTGACATTTACCCACATGGACAATACCCCAAACTGACATTTACCCACATGGACAATACCCCATGCAGACATTTACCAACATGGACAATACTCCATACCGACATTTACCCACATGGACAATACCCCATGCAGACATTTACCCACATGGACTATACTCCATACTGACATTTACCCATATGGACAATACCCCAAACTGACATTTACCCACATGGACTTTGACCCAAACTGACATTTACCCACATGGACAATACCCCATACTGACATTTACCCACGTTGACTTTGCCAAAACTGACATTTACCCACATGGACAATACCCCAAACTGACATTTACCCACGTGGACAATACTCCATACTGACATTTACCCACATGGACTTTGCCCCAAACTGACATTTACCCACATGGACAATACTCCATACTGACATTTATCCACATGGACAATGCCCCAAACTGACATTTACCCACATGGACAATACACCATACTGACATTTACCCACATTGACAATACTCCATACTGACATTTACCCACATGGACAATGCCCCAAACTGACAATTACCCACATGGACGATACTCCAAACTGACATTTACCCACATTGACAATACTCCATACTGACATTTACCCACATGGACAATACCCCAAACTGACATTTACCCACATGGACAATACTCCATACTGACATTTACCCACATGGACAATACTCCATACTGACATTTATCCACATGGACAATGCCCCAAACTGACATTTACCCACATGGACGATACTCCAAACTGACATTTACCCACATGGACAATACTCCATACTGACATTTATCCACATGGACAATACCCCATACTGACATTTACCCACATGGACAATACTCCATACTGACATTTACCCACATGGACAATACCCCATACTGACATTTACCCACATGGACAATACCCCATACTGTCATTTACCCACATGGACTTTGTCCCAAACTGACATTTACCCACATGGACAATACCCCAAACTGACATTTACCCACATGGACAATACTCCATACTGACATTTACCCACATGGACAATACCCCATACTGACATTTACCCACATGGACAATACTCCATACTGTCATTTACCCACATGGACTTTGTCCCAAACTGACATTTACCCACATGGACAATACCCCAAACTGACATTTACCCACATGGACAATACTCCATACTGACATTTACCCACATGGACAATACTCCATACTGACATTTACCCACATGGACAATACTCCGTGCTGACATTTACCCACATGGACTTTGCTGCATACTGACATTAAAATGATATAATTTATACCACTGTTTTATTTACCATTTGACAAACTATAATAATATGAACATCCAAAGGAATCATCACAAGAAGCTGCAACAGATTCTAATCACGTTTGATCCTTGACATAGGACTGCCATTTCGCTATCTAGTTGGAAAACAAAGCAAATGGTTTCAAAACAACATCTTCATGACAGTATGATATAATCACGGAGCTCCTTCTCTACATTACGTAAGAGGGTTGTAGCAGTTGTAGCGCTAAGTCTTTGTTAACATAAGAGGGTCACGGCAGTTGTAGCGCTAATGTTGTAAGTCTATGTTAACATAAGAGGGTCATGGAAGTTGGAGCGTTATTAGTGTGATATAAGTCAACGTTAGCCTAAGAGGGTCGCGGCGGTTGTAGCACTGTTAGTGTAAGTCAATATTAACGTAAGAGGGTCGCGGCCGTTGTACTAATGTAAGTCTATGTAAGCGTATGAGAGTTACGACAGTTGTAGCGTTACTGTTGAAAGTCCATGTAAAATAAGAGGGCCGTGGCATTTGTAGCGCTAATGTTGTAAGTCTTTTTTAACGTAAGAAGGTCACGGCAGTTGGAGCGCTAAGTTTATGCTAACGTAAGTGGGTCACGGCCGTTGTAGCGCTAAGTCTGTCTAACGTAAGTGGGTCACGGCCGTTGTAGCGCTAAGTCTGTATTAACGTAAGTGGGTCACGGCAGTTGTAGCGCTAATGTTGTAAGTCTATGTTAACGTAAGAGGGTCACGGCAGTTGTAGCGCTAAGTCTGTCTAACGTAAGTGGGTCACGGCAGTTGTAGCGCTAATGTTGTAAGTCTATGTTAACGTAAGAAGGTCACGGCAGTTGTACCGCTAAGTCTGTCTTACGTAAGTGGGTCACGGCAGTTGTAGCGACAAGTCTGTATTAACGTAAGTTGGTCACGGCAGTTGTAGCGCTACTGTTGTAAGTCTATGTTAACGTAAGAGGGTCACGGCAGTTGTAGCGCTAAGTCTGTCTAACGTAAGTGGGTCACGGCAGTTGTAGCGCTAATGTTGTAAGTCAATGTTAACGTAAGAAGGTCACGGCAGTTGTAGCGCTAAGTCTGTATTAACGTAAGTGGGTCACGGCAGTTGTAGCGCTACTGTTGTAAGTATATGTTAACGTAAGTGGGTCACGGCCGTTGTAGCGCTAAGTCTGTCTAACGTAAGTGGGCCACGGCCGTTGTAGCGCTAAGTCTATGTTAACGTAAAAGGGTCAGGGCAGTTGTAGCGCTAAGTCTGTGTTAACGTAAGAGGATAACGGCAGTTGTAGCGCTATGTCTGTGTTCAAATAAGAGGGTCGCGGCAGTTGTAGCGCTGATGTTGTAAGTCTATGTTAACGTAAGTGGGTCACGGCAGTTGTAGCGCTAATGTTGTAAGTCTATGTTAACGTAAGAAGGTCACGGCAGTTGTAGCGCTAAGTCTGTCTAACGTAAGTGGGTCACGGCCGTTGTAGCGCTAAGTCTATGTTAACGTAAAAGGGTCAGGGCAGTTGTAGCGCTAATGTTGTAAGTCTATGTTAACGTAAGTGGGTCACGGCCGTTGTAGCGCTAAGTCTGTCTAACGTAAGTGGGCCACGGCCGTTGTAGCGCTAAGTCTATGTTAACGTAAAAGGGTCAGGGCAGTTGTAGCGCTAAGTCTGTGTTAACGTAAGAGGATAACGGCAGTTGTAGCGCTATGTCTGTGTTCAAATAAGAGGGTCGCGGCAGTTGTAGCGCTGATGTTGTAAGTCTATGTTAACGTAAGTGGGTCACGGCAGTTGTAGCGCTAATGTTGTAAGTCTATGTTAACGTAAGAAGATCACGGCAGTTGTAGCGCTAAGTCTGTCTAACGTAAGTGGGTCACGGCAGTTGTAGCGCTAATGTTGTAAGTCTATGTTAACGTAAGAAGGTCACGGCAGTTGTAGCGCTAAGTCTGTCTAACGTAAGTGGGTCACGGCAGTTGTAGCGACAAGTCTGTATTAACGTAAGTTGGTCACGGCAGTTGTAGCGCTACTGTTGTAAGTCTATGTTAACGTAAGAAGGTCACGGCAGTTGTAGCGCTAAGTCTGTCTAACGTAAGTGGGTCACGGCAGTTGTAGCGCTAATGTTGTAAGTCAATGTTAACGTAAGAAGGTCACGGCAGTTGTAGCGCTAAGTCTGTATTAACGTAAGTGGGTCACGGCAGTTGTAGCGCTACTGTTGTAAGTATATGTTAACGTAAGTGGGTCACGGCCGTTGTAGCGCTAAGTCTGTCTAACGTAAGTGGGCCACGGCCGTTGTAGCGCTAAGTCTATGTTAACGTAAAAGGGTCAGGGCAGTTGTAGCGCTAAGTCTGTGTTAACGTAAGAGGATAACGGCAGTTGTAGCGTTATGTCTGTGTTCAAATAAGAGGGTCGCGGCAGTTGTAGCGCTGATGTTGTAAGTCTATGTTAACGTCAGAGGGTCACGGCATTTGTTGCGCTATGTCTTTGGTAACGTAAAAGGGTCACGGCCGTTATATAGCGCTATTAGTTTAAGCCAATGTTAACGCAAGAGGGTCGCGTACCGTTGTAGCCCTATCAGTGTAAGCCTATGTGAAACAAGTTATATATTTTATCTTCACAGAGTGTGGTGGGGACTGGACGAGCGACTCTGGCAATTTTAGCTCACCTTACTACCCCTATAGCTATTACAAGCTGGCTCATTGCAGCTACACGATCACTCCAAGCAGCGGCAACCAGATCATCCTGACTATCGAAAAGCTCAACTTAGCAGTCGGACATTTCCTACAGGTAAATGTATGAATGATATTCCACAGGCACGAAGGGAGCACGGGGGGGGGGCCCAGTCGTCTAAGGCGCCGCGATTCGCTGTGCAGAGTTGCGTCCCATAGGCACGCCAGAAACCTATGATTGTGGGTTCGAATCCCGGTTCGCCCCGATTATGTTTCTCGGTTTGTCAGCACCATACGCGTGCTCGTGGGTTTCACCGAAGTGGTAAATGTCTGAGACCTGCATCACTTCGGGCTTTCCTCCCATTTTCAGCTGACACGCCGTGACATGACTGGAATATTGTTAAAAGCTGCGTTAAACCAAACTCACTCACTCACTCAATCATTTGATTTAGCTTGATGTCGATGACGTCATGAACCAGCATCAGTGTTTTTTTCAGGTGAAAGATGGAATGGGGCGCAGTCTGGCAAACCTGACAGGAATTATGGCGTTCTATCACTTCGGACCATCCTCCTCCTTCAATGCTGAATTCAAGACATTTTGTTGTCAACAAAGCACAGGATTCCACGCAACATGGCAAGGTAGGCACACGTGGTTCCACGCCATCATCATGGATTTCCAAGCAACGTGGCAGGTAGGTACACGTTTAACCACGCCTATCAGCACAGGTTTCCACGCAAAGGGGGGAGGTAGGTACAAGTTTAACCACGCCTATCAGCACAGGTTTCCACGCAAAGGGGGGAGGGTAGGTACACGTTTAACCACGCCTATCAGCACAGGTTTCCACGCAAAGGGGGGGAGGTAGGTACACGTTTAACCACGCCTATCAGCACAGGTTTCCACGCAAAGGGGGGAGGTAGGTACACGTTTAACCACGCCTTTCAGCACAGGTTTCCACGCAAAGGGGGGACGTAGGTACACGTTTAACCACGCCTTTCAGCACAGGTTTCCACGCGAAGGGGGAGGGTAGGTACACGTTTAACCACGCCTTTCAGCACAGGTTTCCACGCAAAGGGGGGAGGTAGGTACACGTTTAACCACGCCTATCAGCACAGGTTTCCACGCAAAGGGGGAGGTAGGTACACGTTTAACCACGCCTATCAGCACAGGTTTCCACGCAAAGGGGGCAGGTAGGTACACGTTTAACCACGCCTTTCAGCACAGGTTTCCACGCAAAGGGGGGAGGTAGGTACACGTTTAACCACGCCTTTCAGCACAGGTTTCCACGCGAAGGGGGAGGGTAGGTACACGTTTAACCACGCCTTTCAGCACAGGTTTCCACGCAAAGGGGGGAGGTAGGTACACGTTTAACCACGCCTATCAGCACAGGTTTCCACGCAAAGGGGGAGGTAGGTACACGTTTAACCACGCCTATCAGCACAGGTTTCCACGCAAAGGGGGCAGGTAGGTACACGTTTAACCACGCCTATCAGCACAGGTTTCCACGCAAAGGGGGGAGGTAGGTACACGTTTAACCACGCCTATCAGCACAGGTTTCCACGCAAAGGGGGAAGGTAGGTACACGTTTTACCACGCATATCAGCACAGGTTTCCACGCAAAGGGGGGAGGTAGGTACACGTTTAACCACGCCTATCAGCACAGGTTTCCACGCAAAGGGGGAAGGTAGGTACACGTTTAACCACGCCTATCAGCACAGGTTTCCACGCAAAAGGGGGCAGGTAGGTACACGTTTAACCACGCCTGTCAGCACAGGTTTCCACGGAAAGGTGGCAGGTAGGTACACGTTTAACCACGCCTGTCAGCACAGGTTTCCACGGAAAAGGGGGAAGGTAGGTACACGTTTAACCACGCCTATCAGCACAGGTTTCCACGGAAAGGTGGAAGGTAGGTACACGTTTAACCACGCCTTTCAGCACAGGTTTCCACGGAAAGGTGGAAGGTAGGTACACGTTTAACCACGCCTATCAGCACAGGATTCCACGCAAAGGGGCAGGTAGGTACACGTTTAACCACGCCTTCCAGCACAGAATTCCACGCAAACTGGCAAGGTAGGTACACGTTTAACCACGCCTACCAGCGCAGGATTCCACGCAAAAGGGCAGGTAGGTACACGTTTAACCACGCCTTCCAGCACAGGATGCCACGCAAAGGGGCAGGTAGGTAAACGTTTAACCACGCCTACCAGCACAGGTTTCCACGCAAAGGGGCAGGTAGGTACACGTTTAACCACGCCTACCAGCACAGGTTTCCACGCAAAGGGGCAGGTAGGTATACGTTGTACCACGCCTTCCAGCACAGGACTCCACGGATGCACATTGAACGTTTTGGATACCTGTCGCTGAGTTCCACCAGCATGCCATAAGCCCATGGGCGTTCATCACGTTGTAGCCAATCCCAATCTGATCACAGATACGGTTTTCAAGCAACAGTCGAATGCTCAGTGTTGTTGTGGATAATGATTACTAACAATACTAATGACTCAGCGCTGTTTGACGACCATACAATACACGGATGTGCCAAATTAAGAATGACCCGCCTACCCACGTGCTCGGAGAAACTGCATGATACCCGTGCAATGTCTCGGAAACCGTTCTGTCTTTGCAAGTCGTTTTTAAAAGCGGATCTTTCTCCTGACGACCTATGATAACATTAACATTTAATGATCCACTATTTTTAGAGTATACGTGCTTCTTCTTTGCAGCAGAAAAAAGGGTATTTTCTTGTCAGTAGGTCAGTATATCAAAGTCATGATGATGATTCATATATTGACGAGGTTACATGTGTGTCATGGAGAAACCACTCGAAAGTAAATGTCTCCGACTTAAACAATGATATGGTTGATATCTATATATTTTGGCATAATGAGATATAGCTGCGCCAGTTTTAATTGTCAGTTTTAATTGCCAGTGAATTCCTAGCTCAGAATCTCTTACAAGAACAATAGCGTGATGTCACCATGTTGACTCTAGTGTAGTAAGTGAGTTGGGTTTAACGTCCCTTTTAACAGTATTACTGTTATATCGCGGCGTGTCAGCTTAATGTGGGAGGAAAGCCCGAAGTGATGCAGGTCTCAGACGTTTACCACTTCGGTGAAACCCACGAGCACGGGTATGGTGCTGACAAACCTTGAAACATAATCGGGGTGAACCGGGACTCGAACCCACAATCATAGATTTCTGGCGTGCCCAAGGGACGCAACTCTGCACAGCGAATCGCGGCGCCTTAGACAACTGGGCCACCCGTGCCCCCTTACTCTCATGTAATCCCCAGTAACACAGCCCGCACGATAAATAGGGGGAGACTACCAAATGTAACTCTATAAATATTGAATAACATTTTTGTAATATTTGAAAAAGTATTAATGGTAGAATACAAGTTAATAAAAATAGGTTTTACAAAATAGTATATCACTGGAGGTTTTTGGCAGGGAAAAGGTATACATTTTTTTGACATCATTAGAATCAATTGCTAAGTTATTATGCAGCTTGCCGTCTTTCCTTGCCTCTCAGTAATATCATTGAACAATGCGGTGAAGCTATGAAAATATCTTCAGCAACCCATGCTTGCCGTAAAAGGTGACCCTGCTTGTCGTAAGAGGCGACTAACGGGATCGGGTGGTCAGGCTCGCTGTCTTGGTTGATGCATGTATCCCAATTACATGGATCGATGCTCACTATGACAATCACTGGATTTATGGTCCAGACTCGATTATTTACAGTCCGCCGTCATATAGCTGGAATATTGGTGAGTGCGGCGTTAAACAACAAACAAACAAAACAATGCAAAAACATATCACAGGCACCACTTGCTAAAGTACACCTTCTTATACTGAGCATTTATACTTTCGCATCACTACCTTCGATTTCTGCGAGTCGACCCTATGTTTTGTGAAGCGAATTTTTCAGACAATGCTTATTTACAGCTGTACAACCAGAAAAAGCCACGCCCCCAGCATTTGGTCAAACCATTCTCGGCATGTCGGCATTTTCCAACATGCCGGCTTGTGTAACCCGGAAGTTCACGAAAGTCTCCACGGACGGACTCGGCCTCTCGTGTACCATTCGGGAGAAGATGGCGACGTTGGATTGTATGAGTGCCTGCAAGGCGGAACCGTCATGCTCCTACTTCACCAACTGGAGAGGGTCCTGCGCGCTCCTCCGACACGACAACGCCTCCAGCCAGCCTCTCCCGCCTACACTATTCAACATTAAGGATTTCACCGGTTAAATGAGTGGCCGTCATCATTGAGGTTGCGGCTGGGATTTGTTTGGAGACTAGATATTGTTTGGAGACTAGATATTGTTTGGAGACTAGATATTGTTTCAGCTACAGCTGCAAAACCCGATACTTTTTAATCATTATTTTTTTTAATTCAAAAGTCTAAAACATTTTTTTTCAAGAGTTTATGTGGAACAATTTATTCGATAAAATCCCAGCTGTAAGAGGAACCTTGTATCAAGGTCGTAGTTATCTTTTTCGACGCGGGTGGGAGGGGGCAAATATTTGTACAGGTATCACTTGTCCCCAACTTGATTGAAGCTTTTTTAATTGTTTTCAAGAGTTTATCTGGAACAATTTATTTTTTTCGATAACAATCCAGTCATCCCCATCCCCGTCCCCCACCCCAAATTTCAGGCTTACGGCAATCATTAACACCCATAAGGACCTCCTTATTTGTATTCATAATTACAGGCATATACGATATGATCATAAATACGAAACCAATTTACCGATCTGTACTGCAGAGCAAAAGAAAGCATACACCCATGTTTAGTGATGGCTAAAATGAAACAAAACAAGAAACGGTTATTCGATGGTGATGTATTTGATACGGGTAGCATAGGCGATATCACTGCATCATATCAATGAGTATCACACAACTTGTGACGTGCACATGACGTCACAAGGAACATGGGAATCACAATTTCAAATCCAATTTACAAGTATGATTTCTTTTGCCGGGACGTATACAATTCTAGTTTCAGGAACTCGTACGATTTGGGAAGGTGGATAGAGCGTTATCACGCTCGTGAAACAAGAAATAGGACCGAACATGCCAAGCATACATTAATTATTATAATTATTATTATATTTAAGATACACAGATGCTCAAAGCAAACGCAAAGTGGTTTCACTTGTTGCGTTCTGAAAGCTGGCGACCAACCGAGTGAGTTGCAATATTCTAGCAATATCACAGTGAAGGCACACAAGAAATATACCCATTTGAGAAATCAAACCCGAGTCATAAGCGAGACTAGACAACCTTTAACTTCCAACCGGGTAATGTTATGGCAAGATTGGCTGGTTACCATTGTGAGCCAACACGAGCATCTTCCACGAAAATAATACATGAGCTTCGGAAGTCAACCCGTGATGATCCCAGGGCATTCGTCACCACTCGCCTCTTTCCGTAACCGCTATTCGGCTTGTCCCGGAATAACACGAGTTGGGCACGAATGGATCCCAGGGTAGAACAGATGCCCAGCCATCTTTGTTTGTCGTAACAGGTCTTACGACAGCGCGATACAAGATACACATTACCGTTTAGAGTAAAACGTGCAAATGTATTCAAATTGTATGTGCGAAGAAAATCAGCTGTATATATTCTTAAATCACTTTTAAATGTGAAATATTTCATGTTATTAAGAATTTACTTAAATATTCTTGGCGTTTATGGAGATATATAAAACTAGGTAAAACCCGACGTAGTACACGGTGTAAATCTACGTCGACATGATTAAAAACTAAAATAATTTTTTTTTAAATACTAAAATAATAATAATAAAGTGCAGTCTGGGATACAATTGTTTGGGTAAGGGGTGCAGTGAGCGATCGCAACTCCGGTATTATAGTAAGTACCTTCAGCTTTGTTCGCAGAGCTGTATGTTTTAAATGTTAGGTTTTGATACCAGCTCTCAGTTGTGTTTAGTCGTGGATTTCTCCAGGTCCTTTTTGTCTAGTTCACAATCTATTTATATAATTATTTAATGTATACTGGTATTATATACGCACTGTTACAGAGCGAATAACAGCGACAGAGCTCTTTCCCTAGCCACAAGAAATCTCTGCTAAAATCTGAGTCGATTATACGAATCCGACTTTATCATGAGCATGTGTTTATGAATCACTATCAAAAAGTGATGATACCAGGTCTTCGTATCCTGCCCCACCGGTAGCACCCGTCACAAACACATGCAAAGGTAAGTCAATAAACAACACACGGAAATGTATGGTACACGTCAAAATAGGTAACAGCATCGGACATCATTTTGTCACCCATATGTCAAATTTGGAAGTGTCATCCACGTGTTTTTCTTAAAATATTTTGAAACCTTCACTGAGGCCTTACATGTTGTAACCATGATCAAACAACTTCTGAGCAAGAGTCGTATGACATCTTTGAAATCTTGGTAGAAAGAGTATGCTCGATTGTATCTCAAAAGTCGTGAAATTTTAACACCAAGGGTTGGAGGGGCAGGAATATTGCTCGACATGAAGGGAAAGTTGAAGTCCTCCCTCTTGGCATAAAGTCTTGTGGAGAGTGTTCAGTCAGTCTGAATCGTTATGCATGGATCTAAATAGTCAACAGATGAGTCAGTCTCACTGGTCTTCTTTATTTCTAGTTCAGGTGGGTAAAGCAGTGGAAGGCAATTGGCTATTTGACCATTATTGAACAATATCAGATCATCGATTTACCTGAAGCATAAGTTAACCATCTTGGCCAAATATCCCTTTTTTAACTTTGCTAATCAGAGCATAAATTCCCATTCATATGCCTAAAGAAACAGATCAGCAAGAAGGGGAGCACAGTTGGTGCCCGTGGGGATGCCGCCTGCATCGTGTCTAAATGTCTTATCCCCAATTTTTACATAGATGTTATCAATGAGGAAATCCAGCATTTCACATAGTGTTTTCTCAGTGAACTTCAGATGGAATTTGCTTTCACATTTAACAATTGGCCTGAATCTCTGAAGACATATCTGTAACTGTATCCATGGCATCCACGTGTTGTAAACAAATGCCCCATAGATCAAGGATTGAAGTTTTTCCTAAAGTCTGTCATGAAGTTTTTCCTAAAGTTTGTCATGTGGGCTCGTGTACAAATTTGAAAAATCAAATGTTTTGACAGAATTTAACTTGTTCTTTTCTGAGATTTCAAAACGTCAAGCAACTTTTTTATCCCAATGATATTAATTCCACTTATCTCAAATACTTTCTCCGAATATAAAGAAAGTCCATCTTTGATTTTATTAAGGGTTGTGGTTCTTATTGGTTCTTCTCTGAGATTGCAAAACATCAAGCAACTTTTTTTTAATCCAAATGATATTAATTCCACTTATCTCAAATACTTTCTCCGAATATAAAGAAAGTCCTTCTTTGATTTTATTAAGCGTTATGGATCTTATTGGTTCTTTTCTGAGATTGCAAAACGTCAAGCAATTTGCTGTTGTTTTTAATCCACATGATATTAATTCCACTTATCTTAAATACTTTCTACGAATATATAGAAAGTTCTTCTTTGATTTTGTTAAGGATTGTGATTATTCTTTGTGTCGGGGATTTAGTGGTACATTCGCTAAACCCATCAATATATCTCTCTTTGACAATTGTATTATCTCGTACTTCACTCTGATTTCATAGATCAATTCTTAGCATTATTATTCAATGTATGCACGTTAGCTTGATAGATAGACTCTGATTTGATATAGGAATTCTAAGCGTTGTTTGAAAACGAACAATTAATTCAATGTATGCACATTACCTTGATAGATAGACTCTGATTTGATATAGGAATTCTAAGCATTGTTTGAAAACGAACAATTAATTCAATGTATGCACATTAGCTTGATGTAAAACGCCATTACAGTTGTCCAAACGAAATCTTCCTTTTGGTGGAAGTTGAACTGTTATATTGTTCGTCAAGCTTCTTTTTGACTGATTTTATGCACAGTGTACTTTTTAGCTCACCTGGCAAAATGTCAGGAGAGCTTATTTCATGGCCTGGTGTCCGGAATCTGTCGTCCGTCTTAAACCTCAGAAATCACTAAACCAATAAAGCTGAAAAATAACATTCTTATTCCCACCAATGATGACACTCTAATTGGGATCGAATCCGCTTTTCAATATGGCCGCCACTGCTGCAGCAGTATTAACAAACCTAATTATACCTGACCAATTTTTGCTTCTTGTATTACGGATTATTTGGACCAAATTGTCAGGATGGTGGAGGAAGAAAAAAGGGAGAAAAAAGCCCAGATCATTTTTTAAAAAAAAACAACAACAGTTTTTTATTACGGATTTATGGGGCAACATTGGTATTTTCTTGCGTATAGTGTGCATTTGAGTATAATTCGCACTATTTCAATATCAATGTTGACAGTAACTTGTGTTAAGTGTCCGTCTTTGTTGACATTTTAAACTGTTCACAACATACCCAGGTGAGCTACAATGTCGTGGCACTGTTTATGTGCAGTATACAGTATATTACAGCACCATATATGTATTATATACCTCTTCACAAGTGTAATAATTGTATACCGAGTCCCATGAGCATGTTTGCTTAGTGTTCCTGAATGCGTGTTGTTGCTCTATCATTCGATTGCTTAATGAACATGATACATTTTTTGAAATATTACTATTGAAAACAAAAGTCATCCAGGAAAAATACGTTTTACTTTATTCCCATCTAATAATAACAAAAACACAACTAGCGCATATTGAACGCTCTTTAATACCATGTCAGTTGTAAAGTATGTCCCGGGGGGGCACGGGTGGCCCAAGGCCTAACGTGCCGCAATTCGCTGTGCAGAGTTGCGTCCCTTGGGCACGCCAGAAACCTATGATTGTGGGTTCGAATCCCGGTTCACCCCGATTATGTTTCTAGGTTTGTCAGCACCATACACGTGCTCGTGGGTTTCACCGAAGTGGTAAACGGCTGAGACCATCATCACTTCGGGCTTTCCCCCTACATTAAACTGACACACCGTGATGTAACTGGAATACTGTTAAAAGCGGCGTTAAACCCAACTCACTCACTCAAGTATGTCCCTATATGAATTAAAGAGTATGCTTCACGTGATGCGGGGAATTCGAAAAATATTATAATTAACAATAAAATGACTGACGCGCCGGTGCCCGGGAAACACTTCCTTTATATATTAGCCGTGTTGCAGGGCGTATGTAGATAGACTATAGGTGGGAAGTCTGTTCACTTATTGAAGTTGTATACTCTAATGTTATACCAGAAACTGTGCACATTAATTCGGCATGTGCAACTACTTTGATTTTCCTGTCAATGTATCCGTCATGTGGTAATCTGAAACAATAGGGTGTTCTTTAACATCTTTTGAGTAGTATGCCTTGTATCTAAATTACGGGGACCCATACGCAAAATAAGTTTTTACTTGTTTCAAACGTGTCATCTGTGTCTCACTCAGATGTAAACTAGATGTGGTACCATTCAAGATGTTCTTAAGTTATTTGAATTAATTATTCAAATGGGCTTGTGTTTGTCTCTGCACTAAAACACTGTAAATTGAATGTAAGGGAGACATCGCCTACAACACAGAGAGAACATGAAATATCATGAAATTACAGTAAACTACGGTTATAACGAACTCAAAGGGACTACTAATTTTAGTTCGTTATAACCGTAATTCGTTATAAGCATACATACAGCATAACTACAGCAAATAGTCGGGACTAAAAAGTTAGTTCGTTATATCCGTCAGTTCGTTATAAGCGTGTTCGTTATAACCGTAGTTTACTGTATGTCAATAGTCAAAACGTAGCTCCTTTGGTCAAGACACACACATAAAGTCATCAATGATGTTTTTCCATGTTTTTACTTTATGGACATTGATAATAAGGAATACCTGTGAGCAGTCATTTTCTTCGGAACTGAGAGTGGAACCCAGCTTTCCAGAGAGGATCATGTCAGGTAGCTTGTGTATTTCGGCGCCATGTTTTAACAACTGTAAAACGTTTCACACGGAACTGAGAGTGGAGCCCAGTTTTCCAGAGAGGATCATGTCAGGTAGCTTGTGTATTTCGGCGCCATGTTTTAACAACTGTAAAACGTTTCACACGGAACTGAGAGTGGAGCCCAGGGCCCCGTTCCAGAACGCCATCTTAGCGCTAAGGTGATCGTAACTCCCATACTTTAACACTGGTTTACGATAGTCGTAGCGCTAAGATCGCTTTGTGGAACGGGGCCCAGTTTTCCAGAGAGGATCATGTCAGGTAGCTTGTGTATTTCGGCGCCATGTTTTAACAACTGTAAAACGTTTCACACGGAACTGAGAGTGGAGCCCAGTTTTCCAGTGAGGATCGTGTCAGGTACCTTGTGTATTTCGGCGCCATGTTTTAACAACTGTAAAACGTTTCACACGGAACTGACAGTGGAGCCCAGTTTTCCAGTGAGGATCGTGTCAGGTACCTTGTGTATTTCGGCGCCATGTTTTAACAACTGTAAAACGTTTCACACGGAACTGACAGTGGAGCCCAGTTTTCCAGTGAGGATCATGTCAGGTAGCTTGTGTATTTCGGCGCCATGTTTTAACAACTGTAAAACGTTTCACACGGAACTGAGAGTGGAGCCCAGGGCCCCGTTCCAGAACGCCATCTTAGCGCTAGGGTGATCGTAACTCCCATACTTTAACACTGGTTTACGATAGTCGTAGCGCTAAGATCGCTTTGTGGAACGGGGCCCAGTTTTCCAGAGAGGATCGTGTCAGGTAGCTTTTGTATTTCGGCGCCGTGTTTTAACAACTGTAAAACGTTTCACACGGAACTGAGAGTGGAACCTAGTTTTCCAGAAAGGATCATGTCAGGTAGCTTTTGTATTTCGGCGCCATGTTTTAATAACTGTAAAACGTTTACACATCACAAGAAGAAATTGTGCCGTCATTAACTTGGAATAAATGGATTTGTTGTCCTAACAGTTTCTGCACGGTTGCACAAAAAAAGACAATTTAGATAAGAACGAATCATGTATTTTCATGTTACTATCACTGATTGGTATAAGTGGGATTACAGTTCTGCATTGCCACGACACGTTTCTTCTCGGAATTCATGGAACCCCGACTGGGAAGAAAGTTACCCTTCAGGTTCAAAGTTCAGGTTAGGTGGTGACGAGATGACATCATTGAGTGACCTTACATTCATGTGCACAAAAGTAATAAAGCTGTGATAACTAACAATTGTGTTTGTTTGTTTGTTGTTTAACGCCATACTCAGCAATATATTCCAGCTATATGACCGAGGTCTCTAAATAATGAGTCTTGATGCATCATGAGCATCGATCCACGCAATTGGTATACGATGACCACCCGATCTCGTTAGCGGCCTTTCAAGACACGAATAGTCACCTATTATGCCAGGCACGGGTTGCTGAGGACCTACTCCAACCTGGATCTTCACGGGTCGAAACAAATGTTGATAAATGCTGAGTAATGAGTAAGAGGTGCGTTTGTTTGGAGACTAAACCTCAATGCCAAAGTTGTTCAGTAGCTACGAGGGTTGGTTAATAAGTTCTTGGTTTCACACAGAAAGACCTAAAGACATTAAAATGATATTTTTTTCAACACAATCCCCTTCCACATGGATACACTTTTGCCAACGATGATAGACAATGGAGGAATTTTATACCAATTTTGTAGAAATACTTATTTTGGCTGTCCAAAATGGTCTCCACATCTGATATAACGTCATCGTTCGAGTCGAAATGTGTTCCGGCTTGAGTTTTCCTCATGTTGTGGAACAAATGGAAGTCCGACGGAGCAACACTCGTGGATTGTAGCCATGGTAATGACTGATTTGTTCGCTGGCGCATTGTCTTGATGGAAGAGCACATATTTTTCTCAGCTTCTCACGTCTCTTCACTGTATCTCGTTATTGCATCAGAAGTGCATCATATTATGCTCAATCTATTGTCTGGCCTGCTGTTCGTCCGTCCTTCGGCCAAACCGTCCGTCACGTTTTGATTCCGGACCGTCCAATATTTGTTGACCACAGATGGCAGTCTAGCCAAAAAATGGTGCCTTGTTCTAATCCATTTTCCCGGTTTCCATGACAATATATTGGGCTCTGGTTCACATAGGTAGACCTTGTTTCCAGAGTCTAACTCACAGTTCGTTATTTCTGGACCAAAAGTTGCTGATATCAGTATAGCAAAAGTATATGAAATGGTGCCATTGCTATTTGTTTACAAGACAACCAATTGCAGGTGGGTTCAAATGAGAGAAGAGGATTTTTGGAGGATAGATGGAATACTGTTCATTATTTCAGGACCAAACTTTCTGCGCAGTTAGCTGTCTAGCCCTCTTTCACTTTGTAAATGATGACAAGGCCGTAGTTAACTTTTTTTTTGACAGGGGGGGGGGGGGGGGACAAATAAGATTATTCATTTCTTATTCAAGTTAACTTTCACAAGGAAAAATGTTTTCTATAAAAAATCCAGGGGGGGGGGGGGGGTTCTATAAAAAATTAAAAAAACCCTGCCCCCCGGCTGGCTACGGCACTGGCTGAGTACCTGGTAACAACAAAATCTATGAAAGTGGTGAGATGCAGCCAGTGATGGAACTCCTGACCTGCTCTCCAGGCAGATGCTATATCAACCAGATCATGGAGGCGGTCCACAACAAGCAAGCATCATAAGGAGGGTAATATCAGTGGCATGATTCTGTCTTAAGGTTCAGACAGGAAGTCAGTACAACAAACAACAGGAGACAACATAAATTTAATAATGTATTAGTTATATAAATGTTTGCATGGATCATCCGTCATTAGCTACCTGAATCAGTCATTCCTCCACTGATTACAACAACAGTTCCGTCTTGCATAACAACACTAACAACAACTCATGCATCATAAAACACTCCTGTAACCATGGTCTTATTCAAAACAACACAACTCCAAGGGGACACTCCACGGTTTGAGTTGGTGTCTGTGTCATGGATCGTTAATTACTGTAAACATTGGGGAAGATAAACAAGTTACTCAATACATAATGCCCACACCTCCGTCCTCACGACATTGATGAGGAGCACGCCTGACCCAGTCATCCGAGATGCCACAACTCTTACAGAATCCTGGGTTCAAATCCCGGATTCGCCTTGCTTATGGTTCTGCATCATTCCGAGGCAAAAGAGTTAACCGACTTTAAAAGTCCAGTTTCTACCCTTGCCAAACTAGGCTGGAATTGCTAGGCTCAATCGTTGCGCCACCAGTGGCTATTACCAATTATGTCCCTTCTAAGCCTCTCCTATGGACCAATCAGATTCCACTTCTCGTATCACTTGCGTTTGCTTCACACAAAATGGTGGCGCCCAGTCAGGACGATCTGATCGCTAATCAAGATCTATATTGTGATATTGTGTCTTACGTCGCGAAATGCATCAAATCACGTGAGCACCTTAATTAAAAACATGAAAGGATTTGGAAAATATCTGCTGACGAGTTGGCGATGCACATGCTTTGCAAACCCAGCAATCGATCGAAATCTGCACGACAGTTTACGAACCGAATTTTGATTTCGGTGCGCGATTTTGATTGGACTATGCATAGACTGGTTAGTCCAGACAAAACGTAACTCCATAATACCAGCCTAGTTCAGCAAGGGTGGAATCTGGAAACTTTTATAGTTAGTTAACTCCTTTGCCTCGGGAAGATGATGGTTCTGGTGATTCACACCATACCCATGCTTGAGAGGTTCATCAAAATGGGAAACATCTACGATCTCCTTCACTTCAAATTTCGCTTCCACATTAAATTAACATGAATTGAAATAACTGAAGTTACTATTCAAAGCAGCGTCAAACCAAACTCACTACTTTAATGCTGACATTCACCATAGAACAAAGCACAACTACTGGAGGACAAGAACTCAAGTGGGTGAGGGTTTAACATCACTTTGAAGAGTACTGGAGTTCAATCATGGTGCATTAGTTTACTCATGGTTCGGGAAAGCCTGAAGTGATGCAGGTTGTACTGATCTGATAAAACCCCATCCAGGGGATCTTGGAAATACTTTGGCATGCAACATTGGCAACTTATACTACTGTGCCACCTGTGTCCCCTTAATTCAAATATGTCACAGCCTATCAGCTTTATACGGAAGGAAAGTGATGCAGGACTTTATGACCTTGGTGAAATCCACAGGAAGGGGTCAGGTGTTAAAACAAACAAGGATCAGAATGAGGGAAAATCTTGGGATTGAAAACGAAATCCTTATCATTGCATTCTGAACATACCATCCCTAATTCACAAATCACCAATCAATACGATAACAAATTATGTGTACTGATGCAATTTGTGATCGATTTTCACAAAACAATTCTCAGCCATCAAGATGCATAAGATTGTCCATTTGTAGAACTAGTCAGTCAGGAAGCTGTTTTCCATTATAGAATAGAACTCTGAAATATATATATATATATATATAAACTGAACCACATGGAAATCTGACACTTCCCATGAAAACAATCTGCATAAATAAGTAGAAGCAGCTCTATTTCAACAAATAATGATAATAATAATAATAATAATAATAATAATAATAATATTATTTGTACTTATAAACAAGGTGCGTGCAATCACAAACCCCGGTCAATGGATCAATGTGCAATCAAATTTCATTCTCAGCTCCCTGGGGAGTATACAACCAGAGCTACCTTGCCAGGCACTAGAAAATTTAACAGTCACAATCATCTTGTCGGGTACCCAATTTTACTGCTGGGTGAACAGAGGCATATTTCGAACAAAGTCACTTGCCTTAGGTGACACCGCATGTGTTACATGTGTTACATGTGCTTCAGTGTGGGGCAGAACCTAGAAACTCTCAGGAGCCAAGCGACGAACACGGTCACCTATCCAACTATCTTCCGCGACTGACGCTGCTTCACTTAACCTGATTTGTGCCCTGTGCACCGATCACAGGACCACATAAAACCAATACATTGTGATACACTCTAGCTTAACATAAACATATGAAGGTCAGGAGTAGAGATGAATATATATAAATGCACATTCGAGACATGAAATAAAGTTTGATTAGATGTTTAATGCGAATTTTTTATATCAATTTGGCCATCAATATTTATTTACCATATCAAAAGTGTATGAAGAACTTTGATTCAGGGGAGACTAATCCATATGCCATATTTGTAAAGCATGACAGAGTTGTCTCCCTTGGAAAACCATCGATTTATTTGATTTGGTGTAGCATGATACCAGTAGTATCGTCAGTCAGTATCGCAAGATGCCAGGCGATACTCATCTCTAGTAACAACCATCCGGGAAGCATTCAGTGACTTTCGGGAATATTGCAGCATCAGAGCTACTGCAGCAGCTACACTATCCTGTCCAATACACTGACTGTCTAGTGCACCTACATTATTAAATGTTAACAATACAAACTGAGAAACAATATAACATATTGATAATTCTGGTTTCCAGTGGTTTTCTGTAAAGGTTGAAGCTGTGTTTGAGGGAATTTCAAGTTGTTCTGCACACTACATGCAGATATTCAATACTAGTTAGCTTACCACTTCTGAATGTATGCCTTTTTGCCTAGCAACAAAATCCTTATGTTAAGCTGCAGAATGAAACAAAATATGTTTCAGAATTAAATCATTTTAGCCACAAAAGAATTCATGAGTAAAAATGTTTCATGATGCAATAAATATGAAATAACCGTTAATAAACATACACCAATATCGCAGCGGTTTCTTAATCGATGACCAATAACTGATGACCATTCGTAGCATCAGAAGCAACCTTGGCCCTATGTTTCAAACCAGAAATTATTGCACGGGTTGCAGAATCCTTGAAACTCAACACAGCACAATGGGAATCTGCCATAGGAAATCTTCAAATACCCCAAAAAGGGTAGCTCTGATCAATCCATCAAATATCCTTTTTCAAATAATAAAAGCAGGGCTTTTCCACTAGCAATACCTAAGGGACGTAGAGAGTTTCAGAGTGAGACCGAAATGCACAGCAAATAGTCAATCACGTACAGCAAGACTCTGAACTATAGCCACCCTAGAGCCTAGTGTTGATGGAGCGCAAGGCAGGACGGTACGTCCCCTTCAACGTTTGGGTTAAGGTTTCATTGAATACAAAGTAAAAATCACTGGGATAACACATGTGTTTTAGTTGGCACATATTCCACCTCAAGATGGAGAAAGGGTTAAAAACTCAATCAACCTCTTCGGAAGCGGCAGTTGCGGAGCCAAGTGTAGGACTTTGTTCCCCAGGCACCGGCGCACCTTTATGCGGGAGAGGTTCTGCAGAGACTGGGGTGTTCTGTGGAATCGGTCCAGCCATGCCGCGACATGGGGGTCCAGCAGGTGCTGTGATGGATGCTGGGACATCAGGAACACATTGGCACTGCCTCTCAGACCAGACACCAGTAACAGCTCCACTAGGTCAAGGTCGGATCTGTCGACAGTCAATTTATTTGAGAAATGTGTGATGGAATTTCAGTACATTTAATTAATTTTCATCATAACAAAGCTGTAAATGTTTATGATACAAATTGAGAAGAAGCGCTGAGTGAAATGAGTTCTCAAAATAACTGTATATCTGCACATGTAACTTTTACATGACCTTTAACCTTTGTTAATGAGTGAGTGAGTATGGTTTTACTCATTGAATACAATGTTAAGATAAAATTAACTTTAAAAAATTCCCCATTTTGGATAAAAAAAAATATCCCAATTTTCCTGACAGAGGCACTCAGTTTGGATTCCTAGATAAATTTTCCGTACAGCGTGGCTGCGTAATGTGGTCTGTTTTATTTAGGACAATAGCATCAATGTTCTATTCCATCAACTGTACAGAACAATGGTATGGAAACATGTATTGTATCACCACATTCAGTACAGAGGTGAGGTGAAATGGGGTTTAACGTTTGCTGATTTATAGTGCTAGCTCAGTGAGTATACCCCACTCAGACACAGTATACTGACTCCGAGCCGACCAGTCCTTGTTTTAGCCCCTTAATGCCAAGTGCCAGACAGTGTAACAACAAGTACCATCTTTTAAAGTCTTTGGGTATGACACGGCCGGGGATCGAACCACGGACCTTCCGCTCTCCGGGTGGACGCTCTACCACTAGACCACGGAAGCGGTCCATTCAGTACAGAAATAAATCAAACATATTCTCAACATTCAAAGGGAAGAGAGTGCCTGTCCAAATTGTTATTAATAAATATGTCAAATCAAAGATTTGGATTTATACTGCTGTCTCAGGACATTAGCTGCATATCATTCACAGTGATCATGAAAACAGACATTTTACGACTGCTTCTGTCAATAATGTCATCACTTTCTATATTCTTATACAGAGCTACAGATAAGCTGCATATTTGCGTAAAACATCCCCCAAAACTATTCAAAACCCAATTACTTTCAATCAACTTGTGTACAGAAACACATGCATTAAATGAAAAACTCAAATGTATAGAAACAGCTCGCGTAAATACCCAATGAAGTGTCTTCAGCATGCGTACAAAGGAGCTTATTTCCGAAAAACAATTACAAGCTAATTTACTTTGCGAGTCAAGCCTTTATATTTAGAACAGTACTTCTAAAACATGATTTCATTTTCTTTTAAATCTCAAAATGTTTACTCATTTGGGGAAAAACCCAATAGAGTGATAAGTAGATGAGTGAAAAAATATTGGTTACCCAATGAAAATTGTAATAAACCAATTAAAATTGAAACCATGGAGTTAAACTCAATTGCTCAAAAAGTAATCTGGAGCTCTGCTTATCTGAATGCAATAACTATTCTCAGCTTAAATCTTTACTAAATGTGAAAACCTATTTAACCTGTGACCTTCTCCCTTATTAGAGGAAAATGTTAACCATGTTTCAGTATAACTTCAGACTTGCAGTTGAATGTTGCTGCCATACAACACTCCATATAACGTACTTCAAATTTAGATTAGTTTTCATTTAAGTTAAACCACACTCAAAAATATTTAGTTCCACAGAGCAACACTGTCTGTCTAATCTTTGTTAATTTGTATAAGTAACTAAAGCTAATCTCTTGGCCTAAGGCTTTCTAAGAAGTCAGTACTTCAGCTTTGACGAAGATCTTTAAGTTTCATAAAAATAACACTTTTTAACAATTATTCACAAAACTGAAATCGCTAAGTCTTATCATGTAGTTAGACACTAGAGTTTCATGTCCATCCATTTAGTCTCTTCCAAGCAGAAATATATCACTTCTAAATGCCATTCAAGACTTGATGAGCCATCAACATGGAGAGAGATGATTCAGCAATATCCATCAACAACAACAACTGATGGAGGAATAAGCATATACCCGGTACTCCGAAACTTTGTGTTCCTCATAATAAAGAAGTTGCCATCCATAACGTCTCTCCCTTAGGCTTAAAAAAATAAAGGAATTGGTTCTCAGGCAATGACTTTATTTATTTCTCTTTTTTTTGGGAGGGGGGGGCTTGTTCCATTAACTGAGAAAGCGCCTTCCTATATAAACAAGCATACACACTCCTAATGCCGCCATGACCCTAACACAAGATGGGCAGATGCGCATTTTTTATTGTTTTTGAAAAAGGAAATAAATAACGAAAAATGTTGCATACTTAATGATGATGCGGGCGGTGCCTGAGAACCAAGACTATTCATTTTTTCAGCCTTAGAAATACAAGATTAGTGTAAAGATGGACAGACGACATGCCATACCTCAACACATGAGAATAGTGTGAGAATTCTATGTGTTGTATAAAGGAATGTCTGGAGGTGTCATCATGTACCTGAAGACGTTGATCCCTGCCCGACACTGGTACAGAGGGAGCTGGGTGCAGCCTCTCATCAGGACACGGATCACAGCCCTGTGGCCATGTTCAAAAAGCTTGTTTAAGGAAGACAGCCTGCAACAAGATGCAAGACATTACACTCAACACAATAATACAGCATGCACAGTGAAAACATCATAACACCTCCAAATATCTCAACACTGCTGGTCTTTCGCTGAATAGTCACAATTTGACAAGTTGATGCCAGGCTGTTTTCTGTAAATCATAATATACAGGTAACCTCCAATAATCGATAATTTGTCCATTAAGCAATAATGCTGCACTTTCTGACCTGCTGGCAACACTGTGGGGATTCTGGTTCTTACACATCTCCAGTAGACCATGCTTGTCTCCCTGTGGGAATTCTGGTCATGATGTGGGAATTCTGGTTATGAGTGAGCGTGTGAGTGAGTCTCCCTGTGGGAATTCTGATCATAACACATCCCCAGTTCCCAATGCTAGTCTTCCTGTGGGAATTCTGGTCATGAGTGAGTGTGTGAGGGAGTGAGTGAGTGAGTGTGTGAGTGAGTCTCCATGTGGGAATTCTGATCATAACACATCCCCAGGTCCCAATACTTGTCTCCCTGTGGGAATTCTGGTCATAAGTGAGTGAGTGAGTGAGTGAGTGTGTAAGTCTCCATGTGGGAATTCTGATCATAACACATCCCCAGTTCCCAATACTTGTCTCCATGTGGGAATTCTGGTCATGAGTGAGTGAGTGAGTGAGTGAGTGAGTGAGTGAGTGTGTGAGTCTCCATGTGGGAATTCTGATCATAACACATCCCCAGTTCCCAATACTTGTCTCCCTGTGGGAATTCTGGTCATGAGTGAGTGAGTGAGTGAGTAAGTCTCCATGTGGGAATTCTGATCATAACACATCCCCAGTTCCCAATACTTGTCTCCCTGTGGGAATTCTGGTTATGAGTGAGTGAGTGAGTGAGTGAGTCTCCATGTGGGAATTCTGATCATAACACATCCCCAGTTCCCAATACTTGTCTCCCTGTGGGAAGTCTGGTCATGAGTGAGTGAGTGAGTGAGTCCATGTGGGAATTCTGATCATAACACATCCCCAGTTCCCAATGCTTGTCTCCCTGTGGGAATTCTGGTCATGAATGAGTGAGTGAGTGAGTGAGTCTCCATGTGGGAATTCTGATCATAACACATCCCCAGTTTCCAATACTTGTCTCCCTGTGGGAATTCTGGTCATGAGTGAGTGAGTGAGTGAGTAAGTCTCCATGTGGGAATTCTGATCATAACACATCCCCAGTTCCCAATACTTGTCTCCCTGTGGGAATTCTGGTTATGAGTGAGTGAGTGAGTGAGTGAGTCTCCATGTGGGAATTCTGATCATAACACATCCCCAGTTCCCAATACTTGTCTCCCTGTGGGAATTCTGGTCATGAGTGAGTGAGTGAGTGAGTCTCCATGTGGGAATTCTGATCATAACACATCCCCAGTTCCCAATACTTGTCTCCCTGTGGGAATTCTGGTCATGAGTGAGTGAGTGAGTGAGTCTCCATGTGGGAATTCTGATCATAACACATCCCCAGTTCACAATGCTAGTCTTCCTGTGGGAATTCTGGTCATGAGTGAGTGTGTGAGGGAGTGAGTGAGCGAGCGTGTGAGGGAGTCTCCATGTGGGAATTCTGATCATAACACATCCCTAGGTCCCAATACTTGTCTCCCTGTGGGAATTCTGGTCATGAGTGAGTGAGTGAGTGAGTGAGTGTGTAAGTCTCCATGTGGGAATTCTGATCATAACACATCCCCAGTTCCCAATGCTAGTCTTCCTGTGGGAATTCTGGTCATGAGTGAGTGAGTGAGTGAGTGTGTAAGTCTCCATGTGGGAATTCTGATCATAACACATCCCCAGTTCCCAATGCTTGTCTCCCTGTGGGAATTCTGGTCATGAGTGAGTGAGTGAGTGAGTCTCCATGTGGGAATTCTGATCATAACACATCCCCAGTTCCCAATGCTAGTCTTCCTGTGGGAATTCTGGTCATGAGTGAGTGTGTGAGGGAGTGAGTGAGTGAGTGTGTGAGTGAGTCTCCATGTGGGAATTCTGATCATAACACATCCCCAGGTCCCAATACTTGTCTCCATGTGGGAATTCTGGTCATGAGTGAGTGAGTGAGTGAGTGTGTAAGTCTCCATGTGGGAATTCTGATCATAACACATCCCCAGTTCCCAATGCTAGTCTTCCTGTGGGAATTCTGGTCATGAGTGAGTGAGTGAGTGAGTGAGTGTGTAAGTCTCCATGTGGGAATTCTGATCATAACACATCCCCAGTTCCCAATGCTTGTCTCCCTGTGGGAATTCTGGTCATGAGTGAGTGTGTGAGGGAGTCTCCATGTGGGAATTCTGATCATAACACATCCCCAGTTCACAATGCTTGTCTCCCTGTGGGAATTCTGGTCATGAGTGAGTGTGTGAGTGAGTCTCCATGTGGGAATTCTGATCATAACACATCCCCAGTTCCCAATGATTGTCTCCCTGTGGGAATTCTGGTCATGAGTGAGTGAGTGAGTGTGTGAGTCTCCATGTGGGAATTCTGATCATAACACATCCCCAGTTCCCAATGCTAGTCTTCCTGTGGGAATTCTGGTCATGAGTGAGTGAGTGAGTGAGTGAGTGTGTAAGTCTCCATGTGGGAATTCTGATCATAACACATCCCCAGTTCCCAATGCTTGTCTCCTTGTGGGAATTCTGGTCATGAGTGAGTGTGTGAGGGAGTCTCCATGTTGGAATTCTGATCATAACACATCCCCAGTTCCCAATACTTGTCTCCCTGTGGGAATTCTGGTCATGAGTGAGTGAGTGAGTGAGTCTCCATGTGGGAATTCTGATCATAACACATCCCCAGTTCCCAATGCTAGTCTTCCTGTGGGAATTCTGGTCATGAGTGAGTGTGTGAGGGAGTGAGTGAGTGAGTGAGTGAGTGAGTCTCCATGTGGGAATTCTGATCATAACACATCCCCAGTTCCCAATACTTGTCTCCCTGTGGGAATTCTGGTCATGAGTGAGTGAGTGAGTGAGTAAGTCTCCATGTGGGAATTCTGATCATAACACATCCCCAGTTCCCAATGCTAGTCTTCCTGTGGGAATTCTGGTCATGAGTGAGTGAGTGAGTGAGTGTGTAAGTCTCCATGTGGGAATTCTGATCATAACACATCCCCAGGTCCCAATACTTGTCTCCCTGTGGGAATTCTGGTCATGAGTGAGTGAGTGAGTGAGTCTCCATGTTGGAATTCTGATCATAACACATCCCCAGTTCCCAATACTTGTCTCCCTGTGGGAATTCTGGTCATGAGTGAGTGAGTGAGTGAGTCTCCATGTGGGAATTCTGATCATAACACATCCCCAGTTCCCAATGCTAGTCTTCCTGTGGGAATTCTGGTCATGAGTGAGTGTGTGAGGGAGTGAGTGAGCGAGCGTGTGAGGGAGTCTCCATGTGGGAATTCTGATCATAACACATCCCTAGGTCCCAATACTTGTCTCCCTGTGGGAATTCTGGTCATGAGTGAGTGAGTGAGTGAGTGAGTCTCCATGTGGGAATTCTGATCATAACACATCCCCAGTTCACAATGCTAGTCTTCCTGTGGGAATTCTGGTCATGAGTGAGTGTGTGAGGGAGTGAGTGAGTGAGTGAGTGAGTGAGTCTCCATGTGGGAATTCTGATCATAACACATCCCCAGGTCCCAATACTTGTCTCCCTGTGGGAATTCTGGTCATGAGTGAGTGAGTGAGTGAGTGAGTGTGTAAGTCTCCATGTGGGAATTCTGATCATAACACATCCCCAGTTCCCAATGCTAGTCTTCCTGTGGGAATTCTGGTCATGAGTGAGTGAGTGAGTGTGTGAGTGAGTCTCCATATGGGAATTCTGATCATAACACATCCCCAGTTCCCAATGCTAGTCTCCCTGTGGGAATTCTGGTCATGAGTGAGTGTTTGAGTGAGTCTCCATGTGGGAATTCTGATCATAACACATCCCCAGTTCCCAATGCTTGTCTCCTTGTGGGAATTCTGGTCATGAGTGAGTGTGTGAGGGAGTCTCCATGTGGGAATTCTGATCATAACACATCCCCAGTTCCCAATGCTAGTCTCCCTTTGGGGATTCTGGTCATGAGTTAGCGAGTGAGCAAGTAAATGAGGTCATGAGTGAGCGTGTGAAGCACCCAAGGACAATATTTCAGAAGAGTTAGTTACTGCGAATGTCACGCTACGGGAATGTTACATATGACAACTCACTTGTGCTGAAACCAGGATAAGTCGAAGGTATATTGATGATCCCAGTCATACCGTGTTAACGAAGTCTCACTGTAAATCAAGGTGGTGACTTTTCATACAGATAGTGATTCACACACCACGGGAAAACAAGCATGGCTAAGACATCGAGAGGTAAAACTCAAATCAAATTTAATCAGGCTTTATTAACAAAGCATTAACAATATTTTACTCTATTTGTTATTTAATGTTTGTCAGCAGTATTCCAGCTTTATATGACGGCAGTCTGTAAATAAGTCTGGACCAGAGAAACCAGTGATTTTTACATCACAAGCATCGATACACACATTTGACAGTATAAGAAACAGTATAATAGTATATTCAAACAACCCTATGCACCTGGTTCACTATAGTTGGCACCAATGAAGATCCCGGGTTAGAATTGCTCTTCAGCAACCCATGCTTGTCGACTATAAAATTGGGTGGTTAGGCTCGCTGACTTGGTTGATGCATGTCACCGTATCCAAGTTGTGTAGATCGATGCTCATGATGTCAATCACTGGATATTTTGGTCCAGACTAGATTATTTACAGAGCACCTACTTGTATCTGGAATATTGAGGACCGCCTCCGTGGTCTAGTGGTAGAGCATCCGCCCGGAGAGCGGAAGGTCCGGGGTTCGATCCCCGACCGCGTCATACCAAAAGACTTAAAAGATGGTACTTGTTGTTACCCTGTCTGGCACTCGGCATTAAGGGGCTAAAACAAGGACTGGAGTCGGAGTCAGTATACTGTGTCTGAGTGGGGTATTCATGTTAAACCGCGGCATGGTATCTCAGTGAGCTAGCACTATAAATCGACATCAGTCCGGACTAGTACAAGCAGCCACACAAACACACACACGTACATGCACGTCGCTATATAAGTGCAATAATCTTGGATGCGACATTAAACCCCATTTCACCTCACCTCACCTGGAATATTGTGCACATTTAACAACAAACAAACACTTTAGTTGTAACTTATGGCAAGTATAGTATGCTGGGGAACTGTTCCATCCCAGGCGCCAAAGTGGCAGATTAACATGAAGGGAGAAAACACTGAATATTCACTTTCTAACACTTGTAGGAGCTTGTGTGATGTCCACGCCATGACGCAGGAATACTTCCACGACGTCTGCGAAGCCCTGCTCCATCGCCGCATGTACAGCACACCTGCCACTCTGGTCACGTTGCTTGATACTGGCGCCCGCTGAAATACAAGATCAGAGTTACCATGGATACAGACACAAACGATCCACCATTAGCCATCTGGGATAGTAGCCAGAAGCTTTCATTGTGGTTTCAGCCCTGATCAGTATTTATAAACTTTAGTCTTTTCTCTTTTTCATAACCTGTTTAACGTCGCACTGACCAATATTCATATATCTGATGATGGCCTGTAAGCAATTAAGTCTGGCAAGCCATCAATCAACAGAGATCAAGGCTATTTCATCCTATCCGCCTCACTATGAACTCATTAAGCAATAATCACCACACGTAATGTAAACATATCCTGTTTAATTGGCTTCCACCGTATGTGTTCTCTGTCCATCATGTTATTACTGTATTATCTTTCTGTTATCATTACCTTACCTACTCATGTTATCCCACTCATGTGTGCAATTGTTACTGTTAATCCTCTACTGTTAATCCTCCACCAACTTTGTATATATATTCTGAACCATGTTCTTCATTCAGTCATGCTTGACAACGGTATAAGGATTTGTCATCCAAAACTGGCTCCCACAGGAGATATCGCTTGGGTGAGATCAAGCTATATCTACATTGTAGATATCACTGCAATGAAATTGCATCACAATGCTTTGCAGACCATTGTGGTATCATTGTTTACCATGATGTCACAATCAAATGACATCACTAATGATTCTGCTAATGAAGCTGTTAGCATTACTTTTTACCCTTAAGACACCGCTTATTACTGTCTACAAACTGAAAAAGTTGGAAGAGAGATGTTGGATGATAAATATAATCTCACCCTTGTGTCTTTTGATATCAAATATATCAACACTCGTTGATAAAAATCCTCGGCAAGCCTCGGAGTATTCCCACTTTTATCAACTCATGTTGATATATTTGATATAAAAACACACTCAGGTGAGATCCTCTATCTATACCGAAATGTCGCCTTTACAGTAATTAAAGTATTGTTGACCATAAATTGTGCCTACTTTGTCATGATCCATGTCATTGGGGTACAATGACACCATCTATTTGGTCACCTCTAACGACCAGCATAGGTTGGTGGGAATCTATTCCAACCCAGTCCCCAAGGGGCAATAATAAGGTAATAATTGACAGGATCTGTGGCTTCAAATAATAATGCCTGCAAACCCAGGTCCAAGCCAAGTCTTCTAGTACTGATCATCATGTTCAAGCCCATGTAGGACGTACATCATAGGACCCGTGAAGATCCGGGGTAGACTGGGTCTTCAGCAACCCATGCTTGATGTAAAAGGCGACTATGCTTGTCATAAGAGGCGACTAATGGGATCGGGTGGTCAGGCTCGCTGACTTGGTTGATGCATGTCATCGATCCCAATTGCACGGATTGATGCTCATGATATTAATCACTGTATTTTCTGTCCAGACTCAATTATTTACAGACCACCATCATATAGCTGGAATATTGCTGAGTGTGGCGTTAAACAACAAACTAACCAACCAACAGTACATCATAGGATGAACAAACAATGATGCTGAGGTTGAAAGGTGCATCCAGCAGTTGATGCCTGGATGCTACAGACATTGTTTCCATCGTGTTAACATACCTGTGATGAGGATGTTGACTGCCGCCGCGTTGTTGAAGACGGATGCCACGTGTAAGGGTCCAACGCCGTACATGTCCTGCTTGTTGAGTTCGCAGCCTCGAGACAACAAGTACTTCACAACATCATTGTGTCCTGCACAACAGATAAAACACTATGTCATTGTGTCCTGCACAACAGACAAAACACTATGTCACTGTGTCCTGCACAACAGACAAAACACACAATGTCACTGTGTCCTGCACAACAGACATAACACACTATGTCACTGTGTCCTGCACAACAGACAAAACACACAATGTCACTGTGTCCCACACAACAGATAAAAAACTATGTCACTGTGTCATGCACAGCAGATAAAACACAATGTCACTGTGTCCTGCACAACAGATAAAACATTATGTCACTGTGTCCTGCACAACAGATAAAACACAATGCCACTGTGTCCTGCACAACAGATAAAACACAATGTCACTGTCCTGCACAACAGATAAAACACCATGTCACTGTGGCCTGCACAACAGATAAAACACTATGTCACTGTGTCCTGCACAACAGATAAAACACTATGTCACTGTGTCCCACACAACAGATAAAACACAATGCTACTGTGTCCTGCACAACAGATAAAACACAATGTCACTGTGTCCTGCACAACAGATAAAACATTATGTCACTGTGTCCTGCACAACAGATAAAACACAATGATACTGTGTCCTGCACAACAGATAAAACACAATGTCACTGTGTTCTGCACAATAGATAAAACACAATGTCACTGTCCTGCACAACAGATAAAACACCATGTCACTGTGTCCTGCACAATAGATAAAACACCATGTCACTGTGTTCTGCACAACAGATAAAACACCATGTCACTGTGTCCTGCACAACAGATAATGTTGTTGTCAATATCATGTTGTTGGGCACAACCCTCACAGCAATATTTCAGCTATATGAAGGTGGCCTGGTAAACCATCAGGTTTGGACCTTACATTCCAGTGATTCACACAACGTTAGAAATTGGTCCTATAGTCCTTGCCAAACTACCAATAGTCAAGGTATCATTAGGACTAGTGGAAATTTGCCCTTTTTAAGGGTTTTGCTATATGTTATCATCATAAGGTCTTGTGGACTAAAAATGTTAGTTTCCCTCGATGAACATGATGAACATTCCCTCCACAACTAGCCATGCCATCAGTATATGATGACACACAACCTAGCCATGAAGCCAGAGCACTCAATCCTCTGGTCTCTTGCCTCTGAACACCAGCGTAACATGCTGGCCACCCTTGGAGATTCCAGGGTAGAATAGGTCTTCAGCAACCCATACTTGCCGTAAAAGGCGAGTATGCTTGTCGTAAAAGGCGACAAACGGCATCGGGTGGTCAGACTCGCTGACTTGGTTGATACATGTCATCGATCCCAATTGCGTGGATCGATGCTCATGATGTCAATCACTGAATTGTCTGGTCCAGACTCGATTATTTTACAGATTGCCGTCATATAGCTGGAATATTGCTGAGTGCGCCGTTAAACAACAAACAAATAAACAAACCAATCTGTCCTGGAATCCCGACAGGGTCTGCATAACACACACCCACAACTCGTCCTGGTTGATCCAGCATGGGATGATAAACAGAAACAAAATAACAGTTATTTACATTTTCAATGAAGCTGAGGTTCAGCATGCTGCCATGTTCACTGTGACCTACCTTTCATTGCTGCCTCATAGAGAGGGGTGACTCCATACTTGTTGGACACATCAACATCACAACCAGCTTCACACAACATCTGAAACCAAATCCCTTTTGTCACCAAATATCACAGCGGGGGAAAAAATCGGATGACATTAACCAGTGATGAGACACATATCTGCAGAGGCAGTTGTGTCATCCGCGACCACTTTGACACTGATGTTATCAACTACATCACCTACAAATACATTTACCACTTCAACTGAACATGAAGTGGTGTAACTCAACTCTCAGATATAACACTAACATGATTACCGTATTCGACAGAATAAGTGCCCCGCTCTAATAAGCGCCCACGGCGATATTTGCTAATATATTGGCCAGTGAACAATTCCAATTAGCACCCCTTCCAATTGATCAATGTACACAAGACATCGTGTGTTACATGCACCCTTAATTATGGGCAATTAAATTCTGGAAAAATATATGTCGTGTATAATATGCACAGACTTTTCTTTTGTACCTTTTTGGGCTGTCAGCATAAACAACGAAATTCACAATCTTTCAACCTTTCTTTTCATCAAAAATTTATTCTAATAAGGGCCCCCTACATCTAATTTTGAGAGCGCCCTGGGCGCTTATTACGTCGAATACGGTAACTACAATGACAGAACTTGGCTTATGTACACAGGAATCATGTTACAGTTGTAATAAAGAGGTTGATTGTCCGTAATATTGTGTCCTCAGTTAGCGGGGATACTCAGACTTATCAGTTATTTTAAAGCTCTAAACTTAAAATCACCATTCATTGTCGACATAATCTGAAACCCACAGAGGACAGGGTAGCCCTGTAGCTGCCAGGCTCCATCCTTCAGCCACTCCAACAAACACATCCCCCCAGCAGTAGACGACCCCACAAACACATTCCTCCAGCAATAGACGACCCCACAAACACATTCCCCAGCAGTAGACGACCCCACAAACACATTCCCCCAGCAATAGATGACCCCCACAAACACATCCCCCCAGCAGTAGACGACCCCACAAACACATTCCTCCAGCAATAGACGACCCCCACAAACACATCCCCGCAGCAATAGACGACCCTACAAACACATTCCCCCAGCAATAGACGACCCCCACAAACACATCCCCCCAGCAGTAGACGACCCTACAAACACATCACCCCAGCAATAGACGACCCTACAAACACATCACCCCAGCAATAGATGACCCCACAAACACATCACCCCAGCAATAGATGACCCTACAAACACATCACCCCAGCAATAGACGACCCTACAAACACATCACCCCAGCAATAGATGACCCCACAAACACATCACACCAGCAATAGACGACCCCACAAACACATCACCCCAGCAATAGACGACCCTACAAACACATCACCCCAGCAATAGACGACCCTACAAACACATCACCCCAGCAATAGACGACCCTACAAACACATCACCCCAGCAATAGACGACCCAACAAACACATCACCCCAGCAATAGACGACCCCACAAACACATCACCCCAGCAATAGACGACCCTACAAATACATCACCCCAGCAATAGACGACCCTACAAACACATCACCCCAGCAATAGACGACCCTACAAACACATCACCCCAGCAATAGACGACCCTACAAACACATCACCCCAGCAATAGACGACCCTACAAACACATCACCCCAGCAATAGACGACCCTACAAACACATCACCCCAGCAATAAACAACCCCACAAACACATCACCCCAACAATAGACGACCCTACAAACACATCACCCAAGCAATAGACCACCCCACAAACACATCACCCCAGCAATAGACCACCCAACAAAGACATCCCCCCAGCAATAGACAACCCCGCAAAGACATCCCCCCAGCAATAGACCACCCAACAAAGCCATCACCCCAGCAATAGACAACCCCACAAAGACATCACCCCAGCAATAGACAACCCAACAAAGACATCACCCCAGCAATAGACAACCCCACAAACACATCCCCCCCAGCAATAGATGACCCTCCTCACCTCAACAGTGGACAGGAAGCCAAGTCTGGCTGCCAGGAAGACGGGGGCATGGTCCTGACTTCCAATATTCACGTCACAGCCTGCTTGTATTAGCCGCTGAGTGAGTATGTCGCGTATATCACAGTCCTTCACCTTAATGGCCATATACAATGGCGTTAATTTCACATTGTCAGTCAGCTGCACATCAGCCTCATGTGACAGAAGAGATGCCACTGTCTCAATGTGGCCGTTGTCAATAGCAACAAGAAGAGGTGTCAAGCTGCTGTACGGGTTGGGGAGGTTTGGGTCGGCCCCGGCCTGCAGGAGGACCTCGACGACCTCGATGTGACCCTCCCTGGCTGCACAGATGAGGGGGGTGTCCCCATTGTCGTTGCTCTTGTTGATGTCACATGTAGCTGGACAGGATCTTGTTTTGGCACAGACGTTGTTGTCAGGCTGAAACAAAATGTAAAACCTGTAGGAATTGGGCCACACAGTACAATGGGACAGAGTGTGTCTTAACTTTAATTTTGTACACCGATACCTGAAAGGAAACCACTAAATCTTAAACATTTGGTTAATGAAAAGGGCCCTTGCTTTATTTGAATACAGTGAAACATACCTCCACCTCCGTTTCAAGCAGAACTTTAACAATACTCTTTCTCCCCAGACGACAAGCAAGCGTGAGAGGTGTCCAGCAGTTGTCTCCCCTGCCATTAATGTCGACGCCTGTCGCAAGAAGCTGCACGACCGTGGAGACAGATTCGTGTTTGATCGCAGCCAGGAGCTTTTGGTCAGTTGTTGCCGGGGTGATGAGCTGACGCTGTGGACGGTGGTTCGTCAGCATCACACAGTCCAGGGCCATCCTTGCTAGCTAACGCCTTTCATCTGAAACAAACCAAACAATTTGGAATCAAATTTTCTGTTATAGGTCACTCTTTGAATACTGAAAATCCATGGACACCTACGCAATTTAAAATGTCCTGGAATTGTTTGACAAATCAGTCTTAGCACTATCTAACTTCTAGGGTTGTGATGGGTACTTGAGTACCCGATAACAGGTCGGGTAGCCGAGGACTCGAGTCCAATTTTCAGGACTCGAGTACCCGTTCAGGGGAGATAACTCTAATCGCCTTTCGTAACTCGTAAGTCACTTCAAAATGGACGACAAAGTGGACAAACGTTCCAATGTGTTGGCGTATTTTGACCTTGATGACACAAAGAAAAAGACCAAATGCCGTCTCTGTGGCATATGTATCAGCTCCGAGTTCCATGAAAAAGTATCTAAGTTTTTAACACAAGAGCATTTACTTTGATATTCTGCGTCACTTGTGGTTTTAGGTAAGCCATGCAGGCATTTAATAAAAAACATAATACCTTAAAATAGATCAACAGGGTTAGAAACTAACAGTTTTTGTCCACTAGTCCTTATAATGATAGCATATAGCAAACCCCTTAAAATGGGCCAATTTCTACTAGTCCTTAGGATACCTTTACTTTTGGGCAGTTTGGTAAGGACTACAGGACTAGTGCCAATTTCTAACACTGATCAATAAATGTTTGATGACCTTTTATTCGCAAAAGCATTACAAACAAGTAGGACAACATTGAACTACGGGTACTCAAGTCCGGTTCGGGTATTGTCTGCCGGGTACTCGAGTTCAGTTTTCGTACCCGGTCGCAACCCTACTAACTTCCAGTCTTTAGCTTTGACTAACAAGTGAAAGCACTAGCATCGGTTTGTGGAAGATGGCCTCACACTACTTTTGACTTTCATAAGATCCAACCTGAGATGCATGCAGTTATGAATGAAATACATCATCTCTACTATCAACTACTGTGAATTAACAAAGTAGAAGTTACAGGTAGGTGGGTGGGTGGGTGAGGAGTGGGTGGGTGGGTCGGTGAGTGGGTGAGTGGGTGAGTGAGTGAGTGAGTGAGTGAGTGAGTGAGTGGGTGGGTGGGTGGGTGAGGAGTGAGGAGTGAGTGAGGAGTGAGTGAGTGAGTGAGTGAGTGAGTGAGTGAGTGAGTGAGTGAGTGAGTGAGTGAGTGAGTTGGGTTTCATGCCGCTTTGAAGAGTATTTCAAGCATATCATGGCATGACAGCCTGATGATAACCTAAGCTTGAAGTGAGCTGGGTATTACGATCCCATAGTTTTGTGGCACACACTCAGAACACTCAGATAATTCTGGGAAGGGCCCTTGGACTCATAAATCTAATAAAGGCCCACATTTTCAAATGCAGTGGGGCTTTATAACATTGTCTAATATACAGTGCTGAATTGGCCCACAACAGAAAATTCCCGGAAAGATCCCAGCCTAAGAGAGGCAACTCTACACAGTGAATTGTGGCACCTTAGACTGGACCACCCTCTACTTTAAGTGAGTGTTGTGTTGGACTCGGTCAGTCCTGTTTAGACTTCCTAGAGCTACACCGACACACTTTGTCATGACATGATACATATCTCATGAGTGAGTGAGTGAGTTAGGTTCCAACGCCACTTTGAACAGTATTCCAGTAATATCACAGCATTTCAGCTGGATATTGGAGAAAAGCCCAAAGTGATGCAGGTAGCTCACATTTACCACTCTGATGAAATTCAGAAGCACAAGTATGGTGCTGACAAACCTTGCCAAATAATAGGGCGAACTGGGATTTGAACCCACAATCATAGGTTTCTGGCACACACACGGTAAGCAACTCTGCACAGTAAATTTCAACATTTTGGACCACTGGGCCACCTGTGCCCCAATATAGCGCATTAATACTCAAATCTATTCTTGATAGGACCCATTATCATCAAAGGCAACGACAAGACAATCTCCATCAAGACATATTTAGCAATATTGAATCAAAGCCAACTTGCCTTTCATACATAAACAATTATCTGTTTGCTTAATACATCAGCAGCTGATCAGCTACAATTGCAACTATGTACTTGTGCATTGTTTCTGCTCGTCCATTGAAATGTTGTACAGCACTATAGTTCATACTATCAACAGTTCAGTTTAAAGCTAAATTTCAAAGCTTCTAATGAAGAACTGTCGGTTAAAAGTTAAAACAATCATCAATTTAAGTGGGCTCCTCGAGGTTTGCTGCTACAGTACTTGAATCTAGGGATGCCCTAAGTCTTAACTTTTACCACTGGGGTTATGACAAGGACCCCTCAGTTTTATCCTCATGACCTCATCATGAATAGGCTAATTATCTATCCCTGTTTGGTGACAACAGTGACCATATTGGTATATACAAGGTAAAAAGATGTGTGTCTTGCATTTACCACACTTCCATTGATCATGTAGGCCCCTAATATAGGCATTGCTAAACTTTAAACTGAAAAATCTATGCGCATCACAAAACAGCGTTTGTGACAAAACTACAAGTTGTCCTAACCCCTCACCACCAGTGAAGATCCGGGATAGAATAGGCCTTCAGCAACCCATGCTTGCCGTAAAAGGCAACTATGCCTGTCATAAGAGACGACTAATGGGATCCCAATTGCGTGGATTGATGCTCATGATATCAATCACTGGAATGTCTGGTCCAGACTCAATTATTTACAGACTGCTGTCATGTAGCCAGAATATTGCAGCGTAAAACAACCCACCAACCAACAAACTAACCTCTTACAAGAACATCATCATAAACATTGAAAAATAATGACAATAGTAAACTAGGTACAATTCAAAATACTTTTGGAATATATCTTACTAGATTCTTAGTCAGTAATGGATCTGTTATGCTATATTGATGGATCCATCTGCATTATCTGTCATTCTCAAATTATAACTGTTTTGCGCAGAATCGGAGTCTAAGCACATACAAATTACAATCGTCAGCTTATCTATCAACAGGAAATGACACATACTTTGATTTTTAGATCGATACGGAAGTCGAACTAGTTCTGGTTTGCTGATGTATCGAGAACTGGGAAACCAAAAAAGACTAAGGGGGGTAACTCTCGTTCTTGGGTTATCCTTGCGTCTGTCAAGCGGTACATATTCGTCTGCTCAAGAGTGATTGGATGTGAATGTATACCAAATATATTTGATACCTCCACTTCGTAATCTAATTAAGGACTCGGTAGCACTGTCTTAAGTGCGTGCAGTAAAATTTCCAAATTTTTAAAGTTAACTTAAGGAGGCTATCGGATAAATTCATCGTGTTTACATGTGACATCACAGATGAATCATCGTCGCATGAATTACCTGTCGGTGCCTACGCATGCGCGCTCGGTCTGCTGACATGGTCCGCCTAAGTTCGGCACATTCCGGTTGATATATATTGAACACGAGAACATCCGAGTTGGTCCGAAGTAGCTGATACGGGGCATTTCGGAGCAACATGGCGCCCATCGGAGAAAAGGATGACAGGATGGGCACGTCGGTTGGGGATGATGGCTCAACAGATGACTCTCAAAATTTGTGGTAATTGCATTTCAAATCAAGATCCAGTAATCAACGTATCTACCTATTGATAATTTCCATTTTCCATCGTATATCGGTTATGCCGGATGACAGAACTGCACAAGAATTTTTGCAAAGGGTGTCGGACAAAATTATAATGATCTTTGCCTTTAGCCAGATACGCATGAATTTTGAGCAATCCACACCAAAACAATTATATTTTTACACGTGGGCACAGAGCTTATATCATACAACTACCTGGTGAGTGTTACGGGAGACGAACCTCCCAGACTTCAATGACTACTCACGAAATTGCGAGCACCTGTTGTCAATCGTCTCGGCACATTCATGACCACTCTCACACTCAGATTTTCCTCATAAATGTGTTATTGTTGTTTGTGCTTCTGCATATATGTGTTTTGAATTGCACAATTTATTCAGTTAATTGTTGACTGTTTTGACAACACCACAATAAGCACAGTAATTAGACAAGCATGCATCATTAGGTGAAGTGACTTGCCAATTAACAACAGATGCATGCATTTACAATTTACATCATCAAGTAAATGTGCAAAAGTCTGCATGGGATAGTAGACCTTTCTGTTATTTCACTGGCCTGAAATAATAATCTGGCATCACTTTGCACACTAAGTACGTCTATGCCCAATACAACTTCTGTAGACATTCTTCTTCCTTGGTTACAGTCTATGTCTATGGCAGGACAGTTGCCATTCTCCTGAGGAGTTTTGACAATAACAGACGGTGCCAAAAACTTTTGAGTCCACTAGCACAACCTGACACTTGACATCATTTTCAGTAGGTCTTAGTGTTACGCAATGAACTATAATTAGCAAAGCTTACTATGCTGAAACTAAGATTACTGGTACAGACTAATGTTTATTGGTTATTGCCTAATGAACCTTTGTATTTGCTGAACCCTTTTTTATTTAGAAATAACTGCCTTGCGATTGATTGGTATGTTTAATAAGACTTGGGCTGCAGACTTCTGGCAAAAGTCCCAAATGGTTGCATTGTTGTTCTGTAAGTGCACAGGGATGTTGTGTAGCAATACAAGCATGGAACTTGAGCCACTGATTTCAAGCATTTCTGACAAGTATAGTATACTGTACTTAGTAATCAAGCTGATAGTACATGTAAATTACTATAATAATTAATTGATCATGCTTGAAACTTGTTGAACTTGTGTTAACATGGGCTTGAAGCTTACTGAAGTGGTTTAGGCCACCAATTTTATCTTTGTGTGGAATAGAATATGCAGCTACAAAAAAAACACCCCATTTTAACACATTGCCATTGTCATGATTATTACTTTCCATTCAAAAATAAGAGTTATTTTTTAAATTCATTTCATGACAATTAATATGAAGGTGTAGTAGTGGTAACTTGTGTTAAAAAATAAACAGGAAGGTCAGTAGATCCTTGTTAAAGATTTAAGGGGTCCCTTGATTCATGTAGGATAGGGAAAACCCTCAACTTGACTTAAGGATCCCAGGCCCCCCTTTAGTTCAATCTCTGGTATCAGAATAAGCTTGAATATTACCCATGAGGGTAGAATTATCATTTGTAATAACTTTTTGGTATTTGCACATGTGCATTTTAGCAAATGTCAATGTTGATTGGTCAATTGAAGTCATATGATGTCACAGTACTTCATTGTTGAGTAAAATATGATATGGCATCATCCATTGTTCATGATGCGATAAATTGTGAACAATAGGCTGTCTTTAGTGAGGTTTCTCTGTAGGTTTGGCATGTCATCTTTCATTATTTATTCTTTTTTTTCTGTTAAAATGTCTGTTGATAATATATAGGCTTGGGACCTCCACTATGCTTTCACTGGCAAAAGATAATTGTAATTCTCTGATTATGTACTAGACTACCACTGGTAGTGCCAGTCTTTGAGACACAACACTTTGGACCAGCTGCATTAATCAAGTGAAACACTCCAACAGGCTCAACTCGCTGTGCAGCATACAGTACACACTCCATCATGTCAGTCATCACCATGTCAGTGTCACTCTATGTAGGACTGGGGTGTCTAAGAATAGCATGTTTTCACCAAGATCTTCATGGACATTGAAAACAGTTGTGGCAATAGCCTCAAGGTCACAAACTGGTCCGGGGCGGTCGGGTAGCCTAGTGGTTAAAGTCTCGCTCGTCACGCCGAAGACCCGGGTTCGATTCCCGACATGGGTACAATGTGTGAAGCCCATTTCTTGTGTCCCATGCCGGGATATTGCTGGAATATTGCAAAAAGCGGCGTAAAACCATACTCACTCACTCACTGGTTAAGAACATATGCCACACCTCTTCTTAAATCTCTTAAATTTTCTTACTCTACAGGGTTAGAAACTAACAGTTTTTGTCCACTAGTCCTTATACTGATAACATAGAGAAAAACCCTTAAAATGGGCCAATTTCTACTAGTCCTTAGGATACCTTTACTATTGGGCAGTTTGGTAAGGACTTCAGGACTAGTGCCAATTTCTAATGCTGCTCTATCGTCACATTTTATACACAGAATATATCCACTTCAAAGGCTGTAGCCTAATCACTGTGTCACTATTGGTAATTATGTGTGTAATTTGAGGACAAGGTGTCAAATCATTTGTTTTGATAGCCAGATTGGTGACACATGAGCAACTCAGAGATTAACAGTTTGTTATAAACTTAAACATTATCGTTGACGGAGTACACATAGTGTGTTCGCTATATCCGTTATTTCGTTAAAAGCATGTTTGTTTTAAATGTAGTTTACTGTAGTTTTGCACCACTAGATTTAGACATGCACTTTCGGTAAGCAATAATACGAAAATCAACTTCATATTAAGACGAAGTTTGAACAAATTCACGTTTACTACAATCTTTCAGGACCAGTGAAGACCTGGGTTAGAAGTGTAGGAGAGTTCATTCTAAGGGATTACCGAGGGATTACTAGAGATTGTAAACCCCCCTTGGGACGTTGCCTCATGTGAGGGTTTACAATCTCTAGTAATCTCGAGGAGACATGGTTTGTCCAACTTATAAACCGTCTCATCGCAAAGACAACGTTTTAATTAAATAACTGTAATAAAAACTCTCAAATGTATAACCTGTATCGGACATGAAATATCGCAGGTCGTCGTGAACTCGGTTCAATGAAACCAGTGACCTCAGCACGCGGGTTTTGCAACGGTGCGAAATCTGCACGTGCATCTTTAAGTGCACTAAATCTGCATGTGCGTCTCATAGGCTGTTCGTAGTTTTTGTTCTATCAAGGGTTTACAATGATTGTAAGCCTTCCTGCGAGGTGTTACAATCCTTGTAATACCTTCAGCGAGGTGTTACAATCCTTGTAATACCTCCAGCGAGGTGTTACAATCGTTGGAATAACTCCTACGAGGTGTTACAATCGTTGGAATACCTCCTACGAGGTGTTACCACAATTTAAAAAAACTCCATATTGAGTTACACAAACAGCCAGTAGGTTTATAATAGGTCTTCAGCAACCCATATTTGTGTAATGAGACAACGGGATTGAGTGGTCAGGATCACTTGCTGGGATGATGCATGTCATCGTATCCAAATTGCATAGATCGATGCTTATCACTGGATTGTCCGGTTGATTATTTATAGAACACTGTCATATAGTAGAATATTGCTGAGTGTGGCGTTAAACAAGAAACAAACAAACACACAATACAAGCTTTCGACTCGCGTTAGAATTCTGCAGTATGTTTGGCAACAATTGTGATTTTCTGCAGAATCGGTACATTTCTGCATTGAGTGGTCATTTCTACCAAATATTCCACAACCGCAGAATCGCAGAATACAGCAGGGACTGGTCTGCTGATCAGATACTTGATGTTGCCTGCACTCCTACTCCCGACCCTCCGCAGGTAGAGTTGCTTGTATTTGTTGTCAGAAACTTGACAGTTCTCATACCTAACCATGCTTAACATCTTTGTTTTCCTTTCCAGGGCCCATATTTTGAGTGAGGTTCAGTCCAGCTCAGCCTCCAAGCTATCAACATCTAGATCAGTATTAGTGTTAGGTGAGTACTCAGTCATGCTGGGAGTACGTTCCGCAATATTCTCATTATTTATGTTCACCAATCTTGCTTAATCCGTTGTTAATATTAAGTTTGGTGATTTCGTGTGTGAACGGCAGATCAACCAACTCACTGTTTACAACAGTTATGATCAGATTACAAACACTGACTCCTTGAAAGAACCTGGGTTGTCAAACATTCTATCAATGTGTCATTAATGCTATGACTCATAATCAGCCCTGGAGGTTCCTGTTCAACTATTTTATGTTCACATATTTGTTTCACAATCGAAATAACAAGATAGAAGGAAACCTTCATGTCGCAATCACTGATTGCTTGATCTCGGACTGTTTCATATGTCTTTTTGTATGGAGGTATAAACGTTAAACCCAGTGTGCACACAGTGCAAGTACAAATACAGACTTACACACGTGCATTAAACTCCATACACGCAAACACATTTTGAAGTGTATTCTCATGATCAAGTTCGTCAACAATAATAACATCACAGACTGCTTATTTAATTGTTGACACTACATCACTGTAGACAACAATACAAAAGGATCAGTGACATTGTCCATGACAATAAAGCAACACAAGCCCCACCCATTCTATTATCATCCAATCAGGAAACAGCAGTTTGTTAGTAGGCGAGTCCACAGAATCACTTCTCATCTTTTTTATATCCGTTTATTCACTAGACCGCTATATCTATAGCTATATGCTTTGATGTAGGATACAATTTTAAAAATTATTACTGTGTTCCCGCTGGCTTTTGAAACTGCCAGTCTCAGAGGACTGACAGGTCTAAAAATTACCAGTCCTCTCCAATTTTTGTCAGTCCCAATTTTGGACATGAAATAGTAAACATGGTAAGTCTTTTGAGTTTAGTTCCAACCCTGATCATGGTCATGAAATTAAACTGTAACTTAACATGTTTAGTGTAAACAGGGTTAAGAAGCCTGATTTCACTTGCTTGTTTGCTGCAGGTGAGAATGACTCCGGCAAGACCACGTTGATAGCCAATCTTCAGGGTGTGGAAGAACCCAAGAAAGGCTCCGGCCTGGAGTACTATTACATTGATGTCAAAGATGAATATAGAGATGGTAGGTCTCATCATCACAATGTTGACCCGTGGGGAATCCTGAAAGGGCCTTCAGCGTCCATAGAGTGATAAGTCCATGCTGCTCCGGACTTTAGCTCACTGTCTCTAACACAGAGATGTTCTCAGGTGTCATTGTTTGGGCTGAGGTATATGTTAAAAGTCTGCAAAAAATTCAGAAATGGAAAATTTCCTTTTCATGTTGATATGATTAATCATTTGGCATGTTTTACCTTTCACGGCTGACTATGTTAAACAGATAACTGGACCAATACAGAGGTAATGGGGGAGTTTTACAATACTGCACTGAATATAGACCTAAAATACTAGGGCCGGGACAATACACCAACTGAGCGATCCCATATGTATCACGATACCTTGTTCACGATCCGATACATATCACAATACTTGTATGTGCTCTTATCTGCTGGGGACGGTCGGGTAGCCTAGTGGTTAAAGCGTTCGCTCGTCACGCCGAAGACCCGGGTTCGATTCCCTACATGGGTACATATGGTATGAATCAATATTTTTTACTTAGTGTGCAACTGTGATCGATACTTGTATCGGGAAGTAAAATTTCGCGATCCACCAATGTATCATTACATTGTCCCACAACTATAAAATACCTCTTGGGACAGAACAACCATTTTCCATGCAACCTGGTAACACTATGGCACTACAGAAGACAATAGGTTACTTACCTCTTAAAATTCTTCTCAGAGTGATCAAATTAAAATCAGATCTTTTTTTCTAAATATACAATGCCATATTTGATGCCATATTCAAGCTCCGACAATGTCATGTGGTGCCTGTCTCAGTCAAGTTCTGACAGTGTCATGTGATGCCCCTCTCAGTCAAGTTCCGACAATGTTATGTGGTGCCTCTCTCAGTCAGGTTCTGACAATGTTATGTGGTGCCTCTCTCAGTCAAGTTCTGACAATGTCATGTGATGCCTCTCTCAGTCAAGTTCTGACAGTGTCATGTGGTGCCTGTCTCAGTCAAGTTCTGACAGTGTGTCATGTGGTGCCTCTCTCAGTCAAGTTCTGACAGTGTCATGTGATGCCTCTCTCAGTCAAGTTCTGACAATGTCATGTGGTGCCTCTCTCAGTCACGTTCTGACAATATCATGTGGTGCCTCTCTCAGTCAGGTTCTGACAATGTCATGTGATGCCTCTCTTAGTCAAGTTCTGACAATGTCATGTGATGCCTGTCTCAGTCAATTTCTGACAGTGTCATGTGATGCCTCTCTCAGTCAAGTTCTGACAGTGTCATGTGGTGCCTCTTTCAGTCAAGTTCTGACAGTGTCATGTGGTGCCCCTCTCAGTCAAGTTCTGACATTGTCATGTGATGCCCCTCTCAGTCAAGTTCTGACAATGTCACGTGGTGCCTCTCTCAGTCAAGTTCTGACAGTGTCATGTGATGCCTCTCTCAGTCAAGTTCTGACAATGTCATGTGGTGCCTCTCTCAGTCACGTTCTGACAATATCATGTGGTGCCTTTCTCAGTCAAGTTCTGACAATGTCATGTGGCGCCTGTCTCAGTCAAGTTCTGACAATGTCATATGGTGCCTGTCTCAGTCAAGTTCTGACAGTGTCATGTGGTGCCTGTCTCAGTCAAGTTCTGACAATGTCATGTGGTGCCTGTCTCAGTCAAGTTCTGACAGTGTGTCAGCCTACCCACACACATCACTGCTCATGCAGTTTGCCATCAGTGCACCTGGTCTGGACTCAGTTATTTCCAGGCAGTAATTATTCTGCCATTATCATGGAGACACTGATTACATATTGTTGTTGTCTCATGACATGCACGTACGTGTATTGGATTGATTACCTTGGGATGTGTGACATGGGTCTTCTGGTACAGGTGGGCCTGCCCCAGAGATTATCACATCATAGGTCAACGTGACCCTACTGCCATATCCCCCACATCATTAGTCATCTCCAGGGTTTTACCTTGACCTACAAAACTAGGGGCCCAGAGGACACCCAATTACTAAGTTCAAGGGTCCTTACAGGAAATATGAGGGTCCTGTAAAGTAATGAAATCATGTCGTTTACTGTTCTATAAGATCTAATAACTACTTTAATATACAGGAAGTTTATATTTCTTGTCAAGAATTTGGTACAATGAACATTATTGTGCATCCCTCAGGATACAAATATATTTTCTTCTGTGTCCATTCTATACATTTGTGCGTACTGCGTAAAACCCTGTATCTCACATCTCCCCTTCCCATTACATCATGTACAAGGTAGAGGTGTAACGATACGGGAGGGTCGCGATACGATACGTATCACGATACAGGGGTCGCGATATGATACGTATCACAATAGTGTTTACTGGTACAGGCTAAGCCAAGTTGATGTCTTTCTGCTCTCTAAAAGATGTGACAAGTACAGTTGAAGAAAATATAAGGTGTTAATAGTCAAGCACGTGGCAGGTGGCAAGTTCGGATTGTCTGGTTTTCATTCACTGGACATTCCTTTGAAACTGTTAACATGTTTAAAAGTAAGTAAAATTGTGTTATGAAAATATCGTATGTATCGCGATACATGCTTTCCAAATCGATGCATCGTACCGTGGGATGTGCATCGGGATACAATACTGTATCGCCGTATCGTTACACCACTAGTACAAGGCCCAATAAATTAGGGTAATTACTAAAGATAAATTCTGTTCTAACATATTCAAAGAGTAAACTTGGTCTCAGAACAGATCGGCTGGACGTTGTGTAACTCACTCATTTACTCCTGTACACATTACAGAACAAGCCAGGCTGAACGTTGTGTAACTCACTCATTTACTCCTGCACACATTACAGAACAAGCAAGGGTGGACGTTGTGTAACTCACTCATTTACTCCTGCACACATTACAGAACAAGCCAGGCTGAACGTGTGGTGCCTGGATGGGGACCCGAGCCACACCGGACTCCTGAAGTACGCCCTGACGGAGCAGAACTTTTCCGACACGCTGGTGTTGCTGGTGGCCAGTATGACACACCCCTGGTCTCTCATGGAGGCCCTGGAGAAGTGGGTCTCCATCCTGCGAGAACACATCGACAGACTGAAGATACCCTCAGAGAAGATGAGGGACTATGAACAAAGCTGTGAGTATATCCTCTTCGCAGGGTGTAGAGATGGGGTGGAGGGACTGTGTAGAGGTGGGGTGGAGGACTGTGTAGAGGTGGGGTGGAGGGCTCGGCAGGGTGTAGAGGTGGGGTGGGGGACTGTGTAGAGGTGAGGTGGAGGACTGTGCAGGGTGTAGAGGTGGGATGGAGGACTGTGTAGAGATGGGGTGGAGGACTGTGCAGGGTGTAGAGGTGGGGTGGAGGACTGTGCAGGGTGTAGAGATGGGGTGGAGGGACTGTGTAGAGGTGGGGTGGAGGACTGTGTAGAGGTGGGGTGGAGGACTGTGTAGAGGTGGGGTGGAGGACTGTGTAGAGGTGGGGTGGAGGACTGTGCAGGGTGTAGAGATGGGGTGGAGGGACTGTGTAGAGGTGGGGTGGAGGCCTCGGCAGGGTGTAGAGGTGGGGTGGAGGACTGTGCAGGGTGTAGAAGTGGGGTGGAGGCCTGTGCAGGGTGTAGAGGTTGGGTGGGGGACTGCAGGGTGTAGAGGTGGGGTGGAGGACTGTGTAGAGGGGGGGTGGAGGACTGTGCAGGGTGTAGAGGTGGGGTGGAGGACTGTGCAGGGTGTAGAGGTTGGGTGGGGGACTGCAGGGTGTAGAGGTGGGGTGGAGGGACTGTGTAGAGGTAGGGTGGAGGCCTCGGCAGGGTGTAGAGGTGGGGTGGGGGACTGCAGGGTGTAGAGGTGGGGTGGAGGACTGTGCAGGGTGTAGAAGTGGGGTGGAGGCCTGTGCAGGGTGTAGAGGTTGGGTGGGGGACTGCAGGGTGTAGAGGTGGTGTGGAGGACTGTGTAGAGGTGGGGTGGAGGACTGTGCAGGGTGTAGAGGTGGGGTGGAGGACTGTGCAGGGTGTAGAGGTTGGGTGGGGGACTGCAGGGTGTAGAGGTGGGGTGGAGGACTGTGTAGAGGTGGGGTGGAGGACTGTGCAGGGTGTAGAGGTGGGGTGGAGGACTGTGCAGGGTGTAGAAGTGGGGTGGAGGCCTGTGCAGGGTGTAGAAGTGGGGTGGAGGACTGTGTAGAAGTGGGGTGGAGGCCTGTGCAGGGTGTAGAAGTGGGGTGGAGGACTGTGTAGAAGTGGGGTGGAGGCCTGTGCAGGGTGTAGAAGTGGGGTGGAGGACTGTGTAGAAGTGGGGTGGAGGCCTGTGCAGGGTGTAGAAGTGGGGTGGAGGACTGTGTTGAAGTGGGGTGGAGGACTATGCAGGTTGTAGAAGTGGGGTGGAGGCCTGTGCAGGGTGTAGAGGCGGGATGGAGGAGTGTGTAGAGGTGGGGTGGAGGCCTGTGCAGGGTGTAGAGGTGGGGTGGAGGCCTGTGCAGGGTGTAGAAGTGGGGTGGAGGCTTATGCAGTGTGCAGAGGTGGGATGGACGACTGTGCAGGGTGTAGAGGGGGGGGTGGAGGACTGTGCAGCTTGTAGAAGTGGGGTGGAGGTCTTTAGTTTTTGACATTATGACTGGAGTACAAATATGTTATCAACCGTTGAATGATCACATCAGACACCTGCTTCTGCCTCACTTATAAGTTCATTTAATTCCTTCCAATTCTTACTTCTAACCAAAAAATAGCTGTAAACTGTGACATATTAGGAAATTCACCTTAAACCGCCACTTTTTCCTCCAGGAGGGAACGGAAGGCCTGTCAACTTTGAGACACATCTCAAGTCACACATTTGACCTCTTAGGAGCAATTACACTCTTTATGTAAACATAACACAATCACTTGTCTGATAAGGATACTGTATTGCCATAGTCAGCTACATGATGCCAAGAGTTTCATTACTGTGTTATGCTTTACAAAATTTTGATTTTCCCCAAAGAATATAATTGCAGTTTTTGAAAGAATATTAGTCCTGCACCATGACCGTGGAATATATTTATTTTATGAAAAAATAATAATCTAGAAATGCATACAAAAGCAAGTCTAGCCAGCTCAAGCCTGCTCTATTCTGAAATCAGCATAGGGAATTTTTTTTATTTTTAGAGTCAAGAAGGATATTGTGTAATATAAGATTTCAGAGACTAAATGTTAGTCTAAAAGAATATCAATGATAATATATATATACAAAGAGAAAAATAACAAAGTCAGTTTGCCACCACTTGTGCCCCATATATATGGCTCATTTATCCCATTTGGGTATTTTGTTCGCACAAGTGTCAACACACATTCCGGCATTTTTTGTCTGTGATGGAAGACAACTTTCTACCCATCACCCAGTCTGATCTTCTTTTGAACATATTCTGGTATTTACCACCTGTTACAGTTGTCAATTATTTTCAAGAATTTATAGTAGAGAGCCCTTCTGATGGTGCAGTTATTAGGGCTTGGAAGGAGCGCATGTCCATCTAGGGCTGCAATGATACAGGAAGGTCACAATAAGATACGCATCTCGATATTCTGGTCACGATACGATACGTATCACGATACGCAATGATAAAAAAAAAACAAGACTTAAAGCATGTAAAGATTGAACCTTTCATGATTTTGGAACAGTCAAATTATTTTATAATAACAAGACTACTGAAGTTGTTCAACTTTCCTTCAAAACAATTCAAAGTTCAAACACCAGAAAATAATTAATGTACTCCACCAGTGATACAACTTCAAAGAATTTTGATGCAATGGTCGAAGAAATTGTATCTGAAATTATTGTTTTATCAGGAATAATTTATTCCAATATCGTGTTACCTTAGTTGCAGCTTTTACTATATAATTATATATATAATTATAAGAACCACAAGTGTAGCATTTTGGTACTGGTGATTGCTGTTGCAGGATATTTTTACGTATGGAACAATTTGACCAGTCACTCCAGGGACTTCCCGTGCTACATGTATTTTGATTGCCATAACGTTACGTTGACATATATTAGCCAAATTGCCACAAATATGACTTTTAACAAGTCAAAGTATGGCATTTTTAATATATGTATCCTTTCTCTAGCAACTAAAGTTCGTTTTAATGCGTCAAAAGCGGTAATCTGACCATGGTTGCTGCATCTATTCACACACAATTTCACATAACTTAATGAAAACAATATTAAATGAAATTTTGAATAAAATTAATAAAATATATTACAAACACAAGTCCAGATATACAATGAACATGTTTTAATAACAAGATAGTATAATAATGGTATTGAATTGCGTACTTCAGTTCGGATTTGCTGACTGGTATTTTCGGTGTTATGTGCTTGCGGTGATCAGCTGATAATGTTTTATGAGATTGGGAAAAACATCTGTCGGTGTAAAACCTGAGCTTATTAAAAATGTAAGTACATTTTTGGGAGCCATGCGTTAGCGCGCTATAACCAAGTTAGCGGTTTATTGAAAGGCACAATACCGAGGAAACGCTGTACTTGAGATTTGCGTTCCGTATCGTGGCGTATCGATAAGTGGGCCCACGTTTATCGTATATCGTATCGTGGGTCAAGTATCGCGATGCATCGGAATATCGGTGTATCGTTTCACCCTTAGTCCCATCCATCTGGCTGTTCCGTTGAGGGTGGCTACACAGGGTTTGATAAAAAAGTAGGGGCATGTGCCCTCCTCCATTCGATTGTCACCCTCGGGATCTGGCTGATTTGCAATGTACTTTTCCCCGGGAATAGGGGAGTATACTTGAATTTGTATACCTTACATTTTGTAAATACATTTTTTGTTATTGTATATATCATGTATATACTGAATGTAACTATTCTATAAACGGACATGGTTACAAGGAACATTATTTCGTGATTAATGTTTATAAGTCATTTGATTAGGATATGCACTTTGACTGGATATATTCTTATTATGCAGTAACTGTTTCATTATTAACAAATTTGTAGCCCACAGACCTGTTGTCCTGCGATGTTCCGTAGCAGCCATATGTACAATATGCATCAATAACACATATTCACCATATAATAATTAAGACCACATGCCAATAGAAATACCAGACTTTGAACCTCAACCATGTCCACACTATCGTCATGGTAATAATGATTTCATTTTGTTTAATTGCCTTCTGAACAGCTATTATGACGTATGTTTGATATGACATAACTGACAGAAAATTTTCTTCCAATTCAAGTGTTCAGAAATATCAGTCGATCAGCATTTCAACAAGTGGTGTTTCTTCTGCTAAGCTGGCTGACAATTGTTATCAATCCACCTAGCTGGAATATTGCTGGAATATTGCTGAGTGCGGCGTTAAACAAGCAAACCTAGGTTAGCGCTCATAAGATGTACCCTCATTTGACAAAGATACTTTAAGGTTACGACCTGGATAGTATGTCCTCCAGTTTATCTACAGTACCCACACAATCTCATCTTCCCGAGGGGGCGGTCGGGTAGCCTAGTGGTTAAAGCGTTCGCTCATCACGCCGAAGACCCGGGTTCGATTCCCGACATGGGTACAATGTGTGAAGCCCATTTCTTGTGTCCCCCGCCGTGATATTGCTGGAATATTGCTAAAAGCGGCATAAAACCATACTCACTCACTCATATTCCCGAGGCAAGAGAGTTAACTGACTTTAAAAGTCCAGTTTCCACCCTTGCCGAACGAGGCTGGAATTACTGGGCTCGATTGTAGCGCCACCAGTTGCTATTACCAGCTGTGTCCCTTCTAAGCCTCTCCTATGGACCAATCAGATTCCACCACTCGTATCACTTGCATTTGCTTCACACAAAATGGTGGCGCCCAGTCTGGACGATCTGATCGATAATCAAGATCTATATTGTGATAAAAGAGATCTTACATCGCGAAATGCATCAAATCACGCGAGGAAATTGATAAAAAAAACATGAAAAGATTTGGAAAATATCTGCTGACAACGAGTTGGTAGTGCACATGCTTTGCAAATCCTGCAATCGATTATGGTGCGCAATTTTAACTCCATAATACCAGCCTAGTTCGGCAAGAGTGGAAACTGGACTTTTATAGTCTGTTAACTCCCTTGCCTCAGGAAGATGACACAATCTATGTATGACAGAATAATATTATTACAATCTTAGAATAAAAGTTTCACAGACACTCCTGGCTGGGACGCCAATCGGCATCAAGTAGTCCTGTTCCCTGACTTCAGGCTGAGCAAAGTCCTATCTGTTTGATATCCCGCTCTGATGCAGTGTGAACATAAGTCTAAATTGTATGTCCCTTTGTGGTACGTAAATAGAGTTCTCAGTGTTATTGTGTGTAATCTTGTCAATGTATAAAATGGATATAGCGGTCACCTTGACCTACATTTGACCTTTGCTCTCGTGCACTATATTTGCTAAGATATTGGCTTGTGAACAATCCCAATTAGCACCCCTTCCAATTGATCAATGTACACAAAACTTATTTATTCGCGTATAATACACACTCGTGTGTTATGTGCACCCTTAATTATGGGGAATATAACTCTGGAAAAATATATCTATCTTACATAAACATTTCATGTTGTCAGCATAAACCATGAAATTTATCTTTCAGCTCTGTTTTTTTTTCACCAAAATAATATTCTAATAAGAGACCCCTATTCCTAATTTTGAGAGCGCCCTGGGCGCTTTTTATGTCAAATACGGTAACTGTGTCTGCCTGTAGAGTTCAGACTAGGGCTGGGACGATACACTAACTGTGTGATGCGAATATGTACCACGATGCATTGCTCACGTTCCAATATAGCGATACCTTGCTCAGTCCAATGCGTAGCATGACACCTTACATGTGCTCTTATCTGTGGTGTGGAAGCCATCTTTTTCATTGACAGGATGGGCAAAATCCTGGCACACTGACGATTGCCAGGAAATATTTATGTTTTCACTTCTAATTTTTCACATTTATTAACGCAAACATTAAAGGTAGAAATATTTATTTATTTTTTTGCTTCGTGTGTGACCATGGTGACTGTGATTGATACTTGTATCGAAAGGTAAAAGTTTGCGATGCGTCAATGTATCGTCCCACTAGTTCAGGCCAACAACAAAGTAGCAATGTTTCTGGTGGGGCTATTTCAGAGCTGTACGTTCTGTTTAAGCATGTTTAAAGTTTGATAGGAACCCATGAAGATCCGGGGTAGAATAGGCCTTCAGCAACCCATGCTTGCCGTAAGAGGTGACTATGCTTGTCAGGCTCTCTGACTTGGGTGATGCATGTCATCGCACCCCAGATGTGTAGACTGATGCTCATGGTGTCAATCACTTGATTTTCTGGTTCAGACTACTCGATTATTTACAGACCGACATCATATATCTGGAATATTGCTGAGTGCAGCTTTAAACAACAAACAAACAAAAAAGTTAAAATGGGGGAGGATATGTGTAGTGAGTGCAATAGTACTCAAGTTTGCTGAATATGGTTTGGTTGAGTTGTTGATGTGTTGCTCCCTCACCCCCTCAACACGACAATTATTGAGTTGTCATGGGTGGTACTGTGTCCAGTTACAGCCCCAGTAGTTACACAGTATTCTGTTACCGATGACTCATTAGAGATCCCACAGAAATGCCAGGCTGTTACTCCATGAAAACCTCCATCTTACATTGACTGCTCCGCTTGATGGACTCACACTTCATTGGACTTAATTGTGACATTATCAGCTGATTTGGTGTGATATTGGCTTTATTCCTGAAACTCCGACAAATTAGCAGCTGATCATTGAGTTTGCATCACATAAGCAGTGAAACATAGTGCAAGTGCTTTGGCTGTGTCACGTAAACCAGTAGCAAGTATTGACTTTGTAGAATGAATCACAATAGTTTTGTGAGTATACTGGGTAATAAAGTGGTATTGATTTGTATTGATGAGTCGGGCCAGGCGTGCGAGGCTTCGACACGTAACAGGTGCTAACTGCTGTATACACCTATTAGGATATGATCTTATTGATTTAGTTGCCAGTTGAACATGTCGCATTTCAGTGAAAATACAATCATGGGAGGATTCTACTATGTCTACTGAAGCAATATTCATTATGTTACATCTTCAACATGTTCAGTAGAGACCTGTCCAATACGGTCAAAAACTATGTCACCTTGGTATGTGCAGAAATATGTCCAGTATGAATCTGCGTCTTTAGCCACCAGTCCAAAGCCTGAGATTTTTCATCTTCCCGAGGCAAGAAAGTTAACCGACTATAAAAGTCTGGTTTCCACTCTTGCCGAACTAGGCTGGTATTATGGAGTTACATTTTGGCTGGACTAACGAGTCTATGTATAGTCCAATCAAAATCGCCCACAGAAATTGAAATCCGGTTTGTAAACTGTCGTGCAGATTTCGGTCGATTGCTGGATTTGCAAAGCATGTGCACCGCCAACTCGTTGTCAGCAGATATTTTCCAAAACTTTTCATGTTTTTAATCAAGGTGCTGACGTGATTTGATGCATTTCGCGATGTAAGACCCCTTTTATCACAATATAGATCTTGATTATCGATCAGATCGTCCCCCCCGGGGGCCACCATTTTGTGTGAAGCAAATGCAAGTGATACGAGAGGTGGAATCTGATTGGTCCATAGGAGAGGCTTAGAGGGGACATAACTGGTAATAGCCACTGGTGGCGCTACGATTGAGCCAAGTAATTCCAGCCTCGTTCGGCAAGGGTGGAAACTGGACTTTTAAAGTCAGTTAACTCTCTTGCCGCAGGAAGGTGGAGATTTTTCGGTCGAGTAAGCTCAGCTAATAGTCCATATAATAACACTAAAATCAATTGCAAATTATGCAAAGACCCATGTTCAGACTAGTAGACCCAAAAGCTTTAGGCACAGGCTGCAATACGATCAGGAACAGTGTCACCTTGGTATGTGTAGAGGTCTGTCCAGTACAATCAGGAACAGTGTCACCTTGGTATGTGTAGAGGTCTGTCCAGTATTATCAGGAACAGTGTCACCTTGGTATGTGCAGAGATCTGTCCAGTACAATCAGGAACAGTGTCACCTTGGTATGTGCAGAGGTCTGTCCAGTACAATCAGGAACAGTGTCACCTTGGTATGTGCAGAGATCTGTCCAGTACAATCAGGAACAGTGTCACCTTGGTATGTGTAGAGATCTGTCCAGTACAATCAGGAACAGTGTCACCTTGGTATGTGTAGAGGTCTGTCCAGTACAATCAGGAACAGCGTCACCTTGGTATGTGTAGAGATCTGTTCAGTACAATCAGGAACAGTGTCACCCTGGTATGTGTAGAGGTCTGTCCAGTACAATCAGGGACAGTGTCACCTTGGTATGTGTAGAGATCTGTCCAGTACAATCAGGGACAGTGTCACCTTGGTATGTGTAGAGGTCTGTCCAGTACAATCAGGAACAGTGTCACCTTGGTATGTGTAGAGATCTGTCCAGTACAATCAGGAACAGTGTCACCTTGGTATGTGTAGAGATCTGTCCAATACAATCAGGAACAGTGTCACCTTGGTATGTGTAGAGGTCTGTCCAGTACAATCAGGAACAGTGTCACCTTGGTATGTGTAGAGGTCTGTCCAGTACAGTCAGGAACAGTGTCACCTTGGTATGTGTAGAGATCTGTCCAATACAGTCAGGAACAGTGTCACCTTGGTATGTGTAGAGATCTGTCCAATACAGTCAGGAACAGTGTCACCTTGGTATGTGTAGAGATCTGTCCAGTACAATCAGGAACAGTGTCACCTTGGTATGTGTAGAGGTCTGTCCAGTACAATCAGGAACAGTGTCACCTTGGTATGTGTAGAGATCTGTTCAGTACAATCAGGAACAGTGTCACCTTGATATGTGTAGAGGTCTGTCCAGTACAGTCAGGAACAGTGTCACCTTGGTATGTGTAGAGGTCTGTCCAGTACAATCAGGAACACTGTCACCTTGGTATGTGTAGAGATCTGTCCAGTACAATCAGGAACAGCGTCACCTTGGTATGTGTAGAGATCTGTCCAGTACAATCAGGGACAGTGTCACCTTGGTATGTGTAGAGATCTGTCCAGTACAGTCAGGAACAGTGTCACCTTGGTATGTGTAGAGATCTGTCCAATACAATCAGGAACAGTGTCACCTTGGTATGTGTAGAGGTCTGTCCAGTACAATCAGGAACAGTGTCACCTTGGTATGTGTAGAGGTCTGTCCAATACAATCAGGAACAGTGTCACCTTGGTATGTGTAGAGATCTGTCCAGTACAATCAGGAACAGCGTCACCTTGGTATGTGTAGAGATCTGTCCAATACAATCAGGAACAGTGTCACCTTGGTATGTGAAGAGTTCTGTCAAGTACAATCAGGAACAGTGTCACCTTGGTATGTGTAGATGTCTATCCAATACAATCAGGAACAGTGTCACCTTGGTATGTGTAGAGATCTGTCAAGTACAATCAGGAACAGTGTCACCTTGGTATGTGAAGAGTTCTGTCCAATACAGTCAGGAACAGCTGGAGTATTGCTCAGTGCAGCATTAATCAACAAGCAAATATCAAACAAATCATTTGTGTCTGAAAATACTGATGGGACTTTAACACGATAAAGTGATTATCTGCCTTTACCATGGTTAAATTTTATTACATGTGAATGGCCTGTTTTGGACATTTTGTGCTTTATAATTTTAAATAACTTGAGCTTGTTGAGATTTAATACAAAATGTCATTTGATGTAAATATAGAATAAACAATTTTGAAAAAGAATATGTAAAAAAAATAGTAGTAAGTTTATTAAGTTGCAGGGTTCACTCCAGGAATTTTCTGACAAGGGCCCTTTATGTGAAAATTTCATATATTCTAGACTTACACTCACACTTGCCCGTACAGCAGAATGTTGAAATGCCCCATTGTATTTAAAAATGTGGGCCTTTTTTCAGACGGGCTAAAAGCACAAGGCCCCATACTAGAGTTATCCCTGGAATTGTAACAGTGTCTCACAAGGTGTGTTTTGTTTCAGTGGTTCGGTTCTTCCAGGAGTACAGCGCCCCGGAGGAGGGTCATTCCACATCAGCCCCACACCGGGGGGACAGCAACCCCCTCCACCCCTCCGCCTCCGCCACAGACGAGGAGAAGGTCCTCCTCCCACTCGGGGAAAGCACGCTATCACAGAACCTAGGAATTCCAATAGTAGTAGTTATAACTAAGGTAAGAGCTATCACAGAACCTAGGAATTCCAACAGTAGTAGTTATAAGTAAGGTAAGAGCTATCACGGAACCTAGGAATTCCAACAGTAGTAGTTATAACCAAGGTAAGAGCTATCACGGAACCTAGGAATTCCAATAGTAGTCGTTATAACTAAGGTAAGAGCTATCACAGAACCTAGGAATTCCAATAGTAGTAGTTATAACTAAGGTAAGAGCTATCACAGAACCTAGGAAATCCAACAGTAGTAGTTATAACTAAGGTAAGAGCTATCACAGAACCTAGGAATTCCAATAGTAGTCGTTATAACTAAGGTAAGAGCTATCACGGAACCTAGGAATTCCAATAGTCGTTATAACTAAGGTAAGAGCTATCACAGAACCTAGGAATTCCAATAGTAGTCGTTATAACTAAGGTAAGAGCTATCACAGAACCTAGGAATTCCAATAGTAGTGGTTATAACTAAGGCAAGAGCTATCGCAGAACCTAGGAATTCCAATAGTAGTTGTTATAACTAAGGTAAGAGCTATCACAGACCCTACAAATTTTAGATTGTAGACTGCTAAATTTGAAATGCATATATTTTATTGTCAGAATATATTTGTGAAAGGGACCCCATTAAGTAGTCTTCAGCAGGCAATCTTGATTTATCACTGTCAGATTAATTTGGCCATTTCTGTAAACTTTCTAAATAAATTTGCATTTCAGAGTGACGCAATCTCAACATTGGAAAAGGAACATGACTTCCGAGAAGAACATTTCGATTTCATTCAACAGCATATTAGGAAGTTCTGTCTAAGTTGTATCCTTTTGAAGTTGAACAAGACTTAATCGAATAGTCCCGGTACAAACATACTGGTTGAATCATGTGACAAATATGTGACATTTAAGGTAAAGGCAGAGATAAACTAGTGGCTTCTTTAAAATAACTAGATTTGGGGAGAAAACAACTAGTCTCTCTGGATTTTCACTTGTCTCAGATGAACTGGCTGGGATAGAGATAGAAATAGTGGTTGAATAGCGATTTGAGTTCAGGGATTGAAATAGTGCTTGAATAGCGATGTGAGTTCAGGGATTGAAATAGTGCTTGAATAGCGATGTGAGTTCAGGGATTGAAATAATGGTTAAATAGCGATGTGAGTTTGGGGAGGATGGAAATGGTGGTTGAATAGCGATGTGAGTTTGGGAAGGATGGAAATAGTGATTGAATAGCTATGTGAGTTCAGGTAGGATGGAAATAGTGGTTCAATAGCTATGTGAGTTTGGGGATGGAAATAGGGGTTGAATAGCGATGTGAGTTTGGGGAGGATGGAAATAGTGGTTCAATAGCGATGTGAATTCAGTGGGGGATGGAAATAGGGGTTCAATAGCTATGTGAGTTTGGGGATGGAAATAGTGGTTGAATAGCGATGTGAGTTTGGGGAGGATGGAAATAGTGGTTCAATAGCGATGTGAATTCAGTGGGGGATGGAAATAGGGGTTGAATAGCTATGTGAGTTTGGGAAGGATGGAAATAGTGGTTCAATAGCTATGTGAGTTTGGGGAGGATGGAAATAGCTGTTGAATAGCTATGTGAGTTTGGGGAGGAAGGAAATAGTGGTTGAATAGCGATGTGAGTTTGGGGAGGATGGAAATAGTGGTTAAATAGCTATGTGAGTTTGGGGAGGATGGAAATAGTGGTTGAATAGCAATGCGAGTTCAGGGATAGAAAGTAGCAGTACACTCCTAGTCCGAGTATGTTCCTCAATTTGAGGTTGAGTGCAGTCTGAATGAGGGTGAGTGGAATGTTGGCTGAGGTGTTTGTCTTGTTTTGGGTAGTAGACTCTCAAGGTCACGGGGCGGTCGGGTAGCCTAGTACTTAAAGCGGTCACTCGTCACGCCGAAGACCCAGGTTTGATTCGGTACAATGTGTGAAGCCCATTTCCTGCCGTGATATTTCTGGAATATTGCTAAAAGTGGTGTTAAACCATACTCACTCACTCATTCACTCAAGGTCACACTCACTTGTAATAAGTCTGTATGACTGTATGAGGTTCATGATTGATATTGCTAATATGTATTTTCGAAACTGGATTGTGATTGGTACTTCAGATTGACCAATCAAACTCAGTATTCTCCATCGTCAGTATAAAGCATTTGTCATTGTACTGTTTGATTGCCAGAAACCGGTAAGCTTTCGACATCTTTTCAGTGGTAGAAACTAACAGGTCAGAACTACTTATCCTTATAATGATAACATATAGCAAAACCCTTAAAAAGGGCAAATTTCTACTAGTCCTCATGATACCTTAACTATTGGGCAGTTTGGCAAGGACTATGGGACTAGTGCCAATTTCTAACGCTGCTTTTACTTACACTAACATATGTATCTATTCCCCATAAAAGGTTGTCAGCTTTTGCATAGAATCCTTAACGTTTGCCAGATGGTGCATCGTTGTTATACTCATCAGTGAAGGAAGACCGGAACTGTGAATTATTGTACAAATATTTAGTACACAGAGTATATGGATTCCCCTTCACATCTCAAGCCTATGTAGTGGAGAAGGACAGTGTCTTTGTGTAAGTATTATAGGTTTTCAGTATATGATGGAGGGGTTAAAGCGTTCCTTCGTCACGCTGAAGACCCGGGTTCGATTCCCAATATGGGTAAAATGTGTGAAGCCCATTTCTGGTGTCCCCCGCCGTGATATTGCTGGAATATTGCTAAAGGCGGCGTAAAATCATACTCACTCACTGAGTATATGCTGTTATAGGTAGTGGCATATGTTTGCTTTTGGCTGTCTACAAGCTGGACTCCCAGACCAGACTTGGTCCCCAGCCACCTGTGCAGGTTGGAAGAGGCAATTTGTTGGATTGGTGGCCAGCCTTGGTGACTTGGTTGATAACGTGTATACGTACCGACAACAAGTATCTTTACTCATAATATCACGCTGGATTGTCTGGTCCAGCCTTGACATTGCTAATATTGCTAATATTGCTAAGTGAGGAGGTAAAGCTGACCAACAAACAGTCTCAGTGGATCCCAGTGTTTGCACACAGTCGTCTACAACCTGGACCCCTTGGCTTCCAAGTCTGAGGGGGCGGTGGGGTAGCCTTGTGGTTAAAGTGTTTTCTGGGTTCGATTCCCCACTCACTCCAAGCCTGAGGACTATCATGAAACTGGAATACTGTTGAAAGTAGGGCTGTGGCGGGTAAGCGGGTACTCGGGTCGGGTGGGTACTGAGTAGGACCAGGGTACCCACAGGACTACCCGGAGGACTACCCAGACCCGTGGTTAGTCACATGATATATTGTTTAATGGCCAAAATTATCTAGAACTCTATGGTTACACTGTAAGTGACAAATGTTCACATTTCTTTCCGACTATGCACACATTCTTTCTGACTTTATATGTTTGCATAAAGATAAAACTTCAGTCAACTTCAGTGTATGCATGACCAGATCATTTTATATCTGTATCTAAATACATTTTGACAGGAGTACGGTCAAACGTTTCCCAAATGGACATTTTGTACCTATCTCTTGAGACCTTCAGCAGGCACCCTGGTGGTGGGGGGGGGGGGGGGGGGTTAGTAGTTAATTTGGACTCATCCCAGCCCTAATTGAAAGCCTCATGAAGCAGCCTTGGCTCACTTGGTTCATCACTGGAGCTGTGAGTCAGTAGACTTTCTTCCACTTTCTCTATACGGTATATGATATGTCAATGCTAATGTTACCTTTAAATCATGTTAAAAATGAATTAATAAAGATTTTCTATTTCCCATTTCAGACCATCAGGTTGGGATAATGAGAAGAAAATTAGCATATTATATGAAAATATGAGTAGCATGAAGCCAGAAGATGCATTTGATGATGTCATAGCCAAACCAGTCACGAGAAAGGTGAGAATGTTGAGACCACTCGGGCATACCCCGTTGTGTCCTGGTATATTCTGACAGAGTTAGAAGTTGGCACTAGTCCTGTAGTCCTTGTCAAATAGTTATGGTAGCATAAGGATGAGTAGAAATTTGCCATTTTGAAGGGTTTTGCTGTGTGGTATCATTATAAGGACTAGTGGACTAAGAATGTTAGTTTCTACCGCTGGCTGATATATTCTGGTACACCCTGGCATATTCCAGAGATGCTCAAGCATATCCTGATATACTCCTGTATGCTCAGATATACTCTGTATGACCAGGTTATTTTGTCAATACTTCAATAGAATATAAGGTTTGACTGTGCATTAAATATCAAGAAAGAAATTTTTCCTAAATCTTGTACCCAAAATGGAGGGTCCACATTATACTGCTATGTGACCTCTGTTCAGTGTGGTGATGAAGTGTGTCTGTACAACTCACGGAAGTCAACTTGCCCTGCTACATCAGTGGACCTTGGTGAACCCTACCATTACCTGACTGTATGAGTGTTGTATGATGTGTGTACTGTGTGTTGTAGCCGGTGCAGAGAGACGCGGAGATCACGACAGAAGTGAGCTTGCCCTGCTTCTTCAGTGGACCTTGATGAACCCTACCATTACCTGACTCTATGAGTGTTGCATGATGTGTGTACTGTGTGTTGTAGCCGGTGCAGAGAGACGCGGAGATCACGGCGGAAGATGAGCAGGTGTTCCTGATGAAACAACAGACACAACTGAGCAAACAGCCGCAGCCCGGGACACAGGGGGTGAGTTGGCAGGGGCAATTAATACTGAAGCCAGAGTTAGCATTGGCACTAGTCCTTTAGTCCTTGCCAAACTGCCGAGTAGTTTAAGGTATCATAAGGACCAGTATAAATTTGCAGTTATTAAGGGTTTTGCCATATGTTATCATTATAAGGCCTTGGGGACTGGTCTTTGCACCAGCAGAGGTCAGATGGTGTCCTACTGGAGTGGGTGAGACTAGACGACCAGTGCCACATGCTTTTTTACCCGTGGAGATTTGTTGTCTGGAGATTGTTGCTGATCATCCTCTGTTTTCTGTTGTCTAGACTGGTCTATTTACAGTCAGTTGTGACGTGACATGAACATTTGTTAGCTTCAGCCCTAAACAGTCATTTCTGAATTTGCCTATAATATAATGTCCCTGAGTCCCTGTTAATGTGAAAGCATAACTACTTTCAAGCTTTGGTTATCATTAATCATACCTAAGACTAAAAAACAAATAGTCTTGGTTCTCTTGGTGCGGCATCATCAAGTTCGCCTCATGTTTTATTCCAACAGTAGTCAAATACTGTATTCCAGTATTTTACTCAAGGAATACATTGATGTAGGGAGGCCCTTTCCAAAGGATGATTGTACACAATTGTTTATCTGATTACACAACTGTTTATTTGGTTACACAACTGTTTATTTGGTTACATACTAGTTTGAACAACCAAAAAACAAAACAAACAACAACAAAATTGACACCGCCCGCCCATGCTATATTTTAAAAAAACATTGCCTGAGAACCAATTCTTGTATTTTTTTTATGCCTTATGCGTTACATTATTTGGTCTCTTGTCAGAGTACCAATAAGTTTCCCACTTAGGGCTTTCCTCACACATCAAGCTGACACGCCATGATTTTACTGGAATACAGTACAAAGCCCTGGAGTTAAATCCAACGCTGTCACTCACTCCTAAGTTTCTAATTACTCTTCAGCTTAACAAAATAAAAAAATTGGTTCAAAGGCAATGACTCTTGAAAATAAAGTGCGGGCAGGCAGTGTTTTGTTGTTGTTTTTTGCTTGTTCAATATGTTCAAAGTAGTATGTAACCAAATAAACCAGTAAGTATAAACAAGCACACAAACTCCTATTGCCACCATGACCACAACACAAGATGGGCAGTGAAGCAGTGCGCATGTAAAGGGAAGAAACTGCGTGCTATGTTGGATCGCATTGTCTTTAGGTAGTAGGATTTTTATATTCTTTTGAAAATGGAAATAAAAACGAAACATGCGGCGGATTAATTTTTTTTTAGCCTTACTAATTCAATATTAATTATGGAGACAGAAAACAAGGTACCATTTGATACGGGTTGTTCTACCTGTTCCATTATTTGTTGCCCTGAGTATAACAACTGGTCTGCTGTTTTCAGCCAGCAGAGGGCACCCCCCAGAGGATGCAGCGTCCCCAGGTACAGCGGACCCCCGAGAGACAAGGGTCGTCGCCATCCACGCCCGGCCGTGGCAAGGTGTGTCATGGTTGTGTGTACATACTTCACAGGAAATGCCAGGAAATGCTTTCAGTACTATTCAAACAAGTCATTGTGTTTATTCCATTAGAAGTTGTTGAATTATAAAACTACTAAATTATTTATCCCTTTCAGCTCTCATAAACAAGGGATAAGATAATGGCTTCAAATTCATGTAAATTGTATCAGAGTTAAAGCCTTGTGCCAAGACCACCCCCAAAACATATTGATCTAATCCAACATTGAACTGTTTTACCTGTGTAAATATTCACCTTACCTGTCTCGTTGCAATCTCAGAGCCCCAAAGTAAGTATATACATCAACTGCTGCTGTGTGGGTGACTTGATGGCTCAGTTTGGTTGCTTCATTGAGTGTATCTGTTTATGGTTTCTTTCAGTGTCTTTCCACCTTGTGTACCTGTAACCCAGCCTTCACTTCATCATGTTCATGTCATCTGTCACAGTTCATATTATCATTTAACTTAAGCATTTATCCATGACATAAGCTTATGACATAAAAACATGTATGTCATACCCAAATCACATAAGTATGCAAATTAGATATGCAAATTAGATAACCGGAAGAGCGAGCGGTTTGATTTGAAACTATATATTATAAGTGAAGTTACACCAGAGATATAATCAGATTACACAGAATCGTTGTTGTTACCGTTATTTAAAGTTTCAATTATTCTGCAAAAGTCTGTTCAAGTATTTTGTTTAAAATAATCTGAGGAACTTTTTTTCTCAGCGAATTGTTTATTTTGGTTTACATGGCTATGGAAAACATGTATCACTACGCACGATCTATACGTAAGATTTCGACAAGTTGCTGATGTTAATGTTTAATGCAATTATTCCTTAATTTGGAAGCAAAAATGTGAAAATGATAAATAGAATTCATCACTCGTGTTTTTTAATATGGGAAATATCAACCTCGTCCCGTTAATCGGTATTTGCCTCGCCAAAGGCTCGGCAAATACCGATTAACTAAGACTCGGTTGATATTTCCCATATGAAAAAACACTCGTGATGAATCCTCTGTATACACTCTTCATGAATGTTGCTTTATTATTTAATACACATGTATTGATCAACAATAAGAGGTCTCTCAGTTGAACTAAATTAATTTTTGTAAATCTTAATGAACTGTCTCCAATGAATGGTCTTTCTGAAGGTGCTTTGTGTTTACAATGTTCTGTCTTGTCTTCTTACATAATGTTCATCAGAGTCTTTACCAAGGCATGCCTGCCTGTCATAAGAGCTGTCTGAATGGTGATCGAGTGGTCATGTTGAATTTATCATCTTATTCCGTTGGCATGGATCGTTGCTCATGCTATCGACCTCTGGTTTCTCGGGCACTTACTTGGTCAAATACAGGTTGCCATGATGTAGCTTGAACATTGCTGAACATTTCTTAAATGCTGACTGCAGCTTTAAACAACATGGACCTCCATCTTCTCTATGCACTTGGTTCACACCAATCTCAATGAATAAGATTGTTTACTCTGATACGATTCCTCTGTGTGTGAAGATCTTGACAACAAGTCCATAGAAGGCCGCATTAAGTGAACCCTGAGCGAACATAAAAGGTGTGTAGGTTCTGGAGTCAATCTGATGTCAGCGTTCTAAAACCGTTGGACTTCATTTCTTTACCACATCCTTTCAGAAATTTGTTCTGAAACAACATGATGTATAAAATATCCACAACACTACAGTAACATTGAATTTTGAAAGACAGTTTGGCAGGTAACTCAATAAGTTAAATTTTCAGACATAAATATTGAAAAATCACCCCAAAAAAGAAGGGACAAATCACGTCTTGATTCAGATGAAAAAATGCAAACAATAACTTGAGTGTCTAGAAGGAAAACTGCATATTTAAGTAGTCTTAAAACTGTCTGACAGACAGTCTGACGGGTGGAAGAATATTTTATGCAGTCCAACAGAAACGTTACCAGCAACGGGCAGACTTATTTCGGACACTGTTTGGAATTCCTTGGTTATATTCGTTTTCGTGTTAAAGAAATTAGTTATACTTGTTCTAATGTGTTCCTAACTTGTACCGAGAAATAAGAAACCTCTAAGCTGATTGGCTGATTTGAAATATTTCCCGATGTGACCTTCTATGGATGTGTTCTCAGGTCGTCTTACAGGGAGGCGTCGTGTGGGAGTAAAAGATCTCATTTTCATCCAACTGGGTTCACATCCATCCATTCTGTTCTCCCTGTTTCTGTACACAACGCTTGGCTTCTAGGTCCAACTATACTTCAGCTCTATCTTGCATAGCATTTGTGTAGGCCGTGGTAAATGAGCGTATGAACATGATGGCTATCCCTGCTTGGAAATCTGGGATAGGTGACTTACTAAATCCCCATGCTTGTAAGCTGGTGGTTTATACATTCCTGGTAAGTGGGAATTGCAGCTCCTTGCAGCAATAGTCCATTCGCGGAACTCTCTGTTGTCGCTGCCACCAGTCACGGTTGAGATGTTACCGAGAGTGCAGCTGGGGTGTCACATGCTGGGAAGGAGCTTTGGGAATACCAGGCCACCCATGAATGTGGCACTGAAAGTGTGAAGACCACACGAGTGTGACAGGGCTTGCTGTCTTGTGGGAAATAATTCCTCCTGGCTGCTTCCAGAAGTGGAGATGCTGTATATATAGAACTGCTAGCTTGGTTTACAAAGAATAGTCCAAGAAGTCATTAATAGAGGTTTTTTCCTCAAAATAAGGCAGTAACTTTTATTGCATGTAAACATGTCTTATGGTGTCCCAACACTACAGGCCCAGTTTTGTTAACAGCAGCCAGGCATTAACAAGTGTTTAGCTTCGAATATGTCTCATGTATTGTGTTGAAAAGAATATGTGCCTAATGATGACATGGGACTGTGTGTCTAAACACGAGGTGAGACACGGAACGCCCTCTGCTCGTCTTCAGAGCTGACCAGCGAGGATTTGGTGGTTACAGCGTGTGACGTGGCTGTTGTGAGAATGTTTTACTGGCCAGAGTTGATTATTTAGAGGTTGCTGTAATATAGCTGAAACAAGATCTCACATTGATGTATGACACTGGTCTCAAACTATTTACCCAAAGCCTCAAATTAACACTTTAACTGTGTGGAGCCAACACAAGATGGCTTCTGTTGGGCGTCCGCATGAGATGGCTTCTGTTGGGCGTCCGCATGATATGGCTTCTGTTGGGCATCTGCGTGAGATGGTTTCTGTTGGGCGTCCACATGAGATGGCTTCTGTTGCTTTATTGTCGCCTGTCTATTTTTGAAGGGGGAGGGCAAGGCACCAGCCGGAGCCACCAGCGAGGGGATGCTGGCCAACTTTTTCAACAGTTTACTCAACAAGAAGACCGGCCAGCCCGGTGGCGGTGGTACGGGAACAGGTACGCCTCCAGTCTCAGGTAACGCAGCTATGTCTTTCTTACCCTCCTCCCTCCACAACCAGCCATAATCAGTCTTCAGTAAAAACAAATAATATTCAGAATGATAAATGATACAGATTTGTATGATGTTGTAAAACCTTATTGCAGCCATATGATGAAGACCCGTGAAGATCCACGATAGACTAGGTCTTCAGTAACCCATGCTTGCTGTAAAAGGCGACTTTACTTGTCGTAAGAGGCTAACGGGTGGTCAGGCTCGCTGACTTGGTTGGTGCATGTCATTGGATCCCAATTGCATAGATCGACGCTCATGATGTCAATCACTGGATTGTCTGGTCCAGACTTGATTATTTACAGATCGCCATCATGTAGCTGAAATATTGCTGAGTGGCGTTAAACAACAAACAAACAAACCATATGAAGAAGGGCCTTCACATGGTGTACCTGTGTGGTCTTCAACTATCTCCCTGTCGCCGTAGCCACTGTATGGCTGAAATAATGCCGAAATTGTTTAACTCACTCACTTCAACAGACGTTAGTCATAATCAATTATTGAAGACTGTTGGCACAGGAACAGGTACCCCTCTTCCGGTAGCACAGTGTATTGTTCATGGGATAGCCTTATGTCAACAAGACACTGTTCTCACTTTCTTGTTTTAGGCTTAACAGTCTATAATAGTTGACTGAGGGTCTTTTGAAAAGAACAAGTTAACAGACATTGAAGGGAATAGTGGGAAGACCACATGGGACCCCATAAATTATATTGAGTATCACAATGTATTGATGGATAATAAAGATAATTGTTGTGTATGTGTGTAGATAGATATTACCTTTGTAGACCTGCAATAAATCAACCTAATGCTCAATATGAACGAAGCTTGGCCATGAAATGTCTAAAATGGAATGTTCTTACTCATTGTCTGTCGTTTCCTTGGCAATCTCAATAAATGTAAGTGTTTCCGGGCTGTAAGTTAATACTTTACGATATTCATAAATTTGTATTGATACTGTGTTTGCATTAAATATGTATTGATATCGCAGTATACGATGACATCCCTAGACTATTCCTAGCATTACATTTCTGGCTCACCTTGACCTTGTGTCATGAGTCGGCCACATCCAACCGGCTGACCCATCCATCCATCCATCCATCCATCCATCCATCCATCCATCTTTAGCACTGACCTTTTCACTTCCTTTAAAGTCTAAATGGCAAGTTAATATGTCCTCAGCCCTCAAGTGTAATATAATATACTCACCCAAAAAAGTAGGGGATATTCCAAAATAACAGATGATTAAAGAAATGCAAAGAGGTATTGAGAAAAAGGAAGGACTAGGTTTACATGACAATCAACAGGATATGTTGGCGGTGTATTGTAAGGGTGCAGACAACCAAGTAAAATGGCGGGTGTGAGGGAAGAATAAACATTTGCAATGACTTGATCAATACTGGATCATGCTCCCATGATTGGTCAAACATTGTTTATGTGGCGTTGGCTGAATTAGTCCCTCATGACAGTTTTGAGGGTGTCTTGCCCTCTCCTCTAGCAGCAGGGGCGGTCCGGTAGCCCAGTGGTTAAATCGTACACTCGTCATGCTGAAGACCTGGGTTCGATTCCCAACATGGGTACAAAGTGTGAAGCCCATTTCTGGTGTCCCCCGCCGTGATATTGCTGGAATATAGCTAAAAGCGGTGTAAAACCATACACTCTCACTCACTCACTCACTCACTCACTCACTCACTCACTCACTCTAGCAGCCCCTGCCTCGTAAGTTCAGCTAACATGGCGGGTGGTCTGGTGTCCCCGCCATGATATTGCTGGAATATAGCTAAAAGCGGCGTAAAACCATACATACACTCACTCACTCACTCACTCACTCACTCACTCACTCACTCACTCACTCACTCACTCACTCACTCACTCACTCACTCACTCACTCACTCACTCACTCACTCACTCACTCACTCTAGCAGCACCTGGCCTCGTAAGTTCAGCTAACATGGCGGGTGGTGTTAGATGTCATGTCCCAGACTCGTGGCTGTCTTTTCATGTCATTTCATGTTGTGCTGCTTGAGTTTGTCAGTTACAATAAAACGTGGCACACAAGCAGCACAACTATTGGCGCCAGTATGTTGCCTCGGTTGTACTACTGAATGACCCTTCCATGGACAGTGCAGTGGCATTCTGTCAGTCATCATGATCCCGCTCCACATCATCACAGTCTCATCTCCGAATCTGTCATGTTGCCTTACATTGACGTTCGCCTTACATTGATATTCGTTAGGACGCCTCCAGACACGTCCACACTATCCAGAAAGTCCAGATTGAGTCTAGACTAATCTGAAATCATTACAGCCACTCCCCCCAGTATCTGCACTCTAAGACCATTGGCGCCTGGCTAGAATGGTCAGTAACTTGAGGGGGCACAGGTGGCCCAATCGTCTAAGGCGCCGCAATTCACTGGGCAGAGTTGCGTCCCTTGGGCACGCCAGCAACCTATGATTGTGGGTTCGAATCCCGGTTCGCCCCAATTATGTTTCTAGGTTTGTCAGCACCATACCCATGCTCGTGGGTTTCACCGAACTGGTAAACGTCTGAGACCTGCATCACTTCGGGCTTTCCTCCCACATTAAGCTGACACGCCACGATATAACTGTAATAATGTTAAAAGCGGTGTTAAACCCAACTCACTCACTCACTCACTCACTCACTCACTCACTCACTCACTCACTCAGTACCTTCAACTCAGTTTGTCTTGTGCAAGAGTACAACAATTTGATTGGCTGTTTGGGCACTGTTTAAAGCCTAGTTAGTGATGAATCAATCAGAGTGTTGCAGACCAAGGGAACCCTGTGCGAATCAAATCATATCAAAATAGACACAGTGAACATATTGGCTACCTCTCACTCAAGTTCTGCCAGTTTTATGCATTTCAATAGCCCTAAGTGGTTCATCAAATTACATGTCACTGTGGATATTGATAATCAGCAATACTGAGCTATTTGCCTGCCAACCTGTCAATCAGGTGTCAAAATCAGGATTGTCTGGTCCATGCTCGATTATTTACAGACCGCTGTCATAAAGCTGGAATATTACTGAGTGTGGCGTTAAACAACAAACACACAAATCTGTACCACAGGTTGATGTTGGAGCCCAACATTTTAGCTGTCATGTTGCAACTGCCACTTTGTCACCCCCACCTGCCATGTTGACTGACACATTTGGTTTATGGCAGTCCCTCAGTAAAGATAGGTCAAAGCAAGTTCAACGGCTAGGACCAACTTCACTTGGGCTGGGACATAAAGCTGACACACAGCCCAGTCCTCTAAGGCGCCGCAATTCGCTGTGCAGAGTTGCATCCCTTGGGCACGCCAGAAACCTATGATTGTGGGTTCGAATCCCAGTTCGCCCCAATTATGTTTCTAGGTTTGTCAGCACCACACCCGTGCTTGTAGGTTTCACCGAAGTGGTAAATGTCTGAGACCTGCGTCACTTCGGGCTTTCCTCCCACATGAAGCTGACACGCCGTGATATAACTGGAATACTGTTAAAAGAGGCATTAATCCCAACTCACTCACTCCAAGCAACAAAATCTAACATTGATTTATGATCAGGTTAGAATCTGTACCATGACATTGTGTACCTAAAACTGATTATTATTCCCAAGGTTTTATATACTTTGACCTGCCTACACATGATCTCTTGTCCTTCACAGATAGAGTCTCGCGTGATGCAGCGGCGGAGTTGGAGCGGATGACGAGGGGGAAGAAGCCAGCGGAGACCAATTCAAATGACACAAGTGCCTCGGGATCCTGATTGTTGACAGACTGACTATATTTGGTTCCACCATGACCGGGCAACGTAGATGGTTTGTGTTGTCAATCTGTGTCTCTCGTTCTCTGCCCAGTTGCTGCAATATCGGCTTCTCTCATAACTGCTGCGGACACAGATAAACAGCGTCGCCACGGACCACACAGATCTTTGTTATTTATGGGCAAAGCAAATCTACCTTGGAACCTAAGTTTGCCTCAGTCTTGTGTTAAATGAATGTATTATTATATGTGTACAAAAACATATTTCCTTGAAATTAAAAATTGAAGATATCTTGATACTTTAAGTAAGTCCTGCTTACTGTCTACCATTGCAATGATTGACTGTACATAAAAGATGGATGGTGCCGTGTATGTATAGATAGATAATCCTTTGTTACGTCCTATTTAAGTTATTGTGCTACAAACAAATCATGTATTACACATCCCTGACTTGGAGACCATCATAAGACCCCTAGTGCTAATACTCAGTGACGAACTCAGAGATGTGATGGGGAGGTAGAATGCTATTCCAGATACTTTTACCAATAGGACACAGCGTATTATAAAGTTGGTCGACACTGTGAAGATAAAGGAGACGGTGGCTGACATATTATCATTATGAGTATAATGCCAGTGTTGTTGTTGTATTGGCTTATTTATTATCCAGTTTACAAATTACAGAGGATACATCCATGACAATTATCTCATTTTAACCATGTCTTATGAGTAACTATGGTAACCTCCTTCCGCTCAATTGGTACAGCTCACATATTCTGCTTCTCTCAACGTCCCATAGCATCACAAGACAGACCTTGTCATCTCCTGAATATTATTGAGCACCAGACAGACTAACAAACATGCTGTTATCAGATGTGTAATCTCTTTTCACTTCTTTCACAGAAATGATGTTTTCTGTCATATTTTTGCTTGGCCTGGATAACTTAAGTAATATGAATTCATCTCTTCATTGAGTAACCTATTCCAGTAAAATATTTGCTTCTCATGAACAAACTACTAACAGGTCCTGTTCAGGCTGGTCCCACCCTACCCTGCTCTGCCCCGCCCACCCTGACCCACCTACTCTGCTGCTCTGCATACTCTGCTCCGCCCACTCTGCCCCGACCTCTCTGCCCCGCCCACTCTGACCTACCCTGCCAGTAATGGGCCATGGCCAGTTGTTGGCCAACAGATGATGGCAGAGCTTATTCAATATTACTGCCAGCAACTATAATTTCAAGAAGCTATCCTGAGCAAGGCTAGGTGTCTCTGGAATATGGTCTGGTCGTCCGAGCTTTCATTCCAAGTATTTCTGTACGAAAATGTTCTTGCATAAAACATCTTTTAAGAATCCACTTAATCTATGTATGCATACATCATGATTTACTGTGACAATTGAGTGTGACTTGTGAAGCAGTGTTGATGACAAACTGGATTCTCTGAGCCAATCCCCAGATCAATCATCTCCCCTTAATTCAGCTTCCCGAATAATTTCTACTTAATTCTTTATTTGCATTAAATTTGTATTTAATATTTAAATTCTGAATATTCCATCGTAACAGACACGTAAGAGCACCTCACCCTGTACATTCACCATATTAGAGAGACAACAGTGTTGTACTGTTGAAGCGACACATATTACCCAAATAGGCTGCCCAGGCTGCTTGCTTTCTCTCAACCCCTGGGGCTACTGGTTGCTAGGAAACATCTCCCTCTAGATGATGGAAACTGAGAAAACATAAATACACACCTTCATTTACATATTACAAGGTTACACACTAGTATGTTAGGCCAAGACTTGTGAAATTCCAATTGAACTGGCTATTTCACAAAAAACACTTGTCCGAAATGAACGGCAGATTGGTTGATTTGACCAACGGTGTCTACCCCTGTACATGACAACCAGAGGCTCTTTCTTCTCCACTATCAACTTGATAGATGCCCACCTCTCCCCTCTACTACCCTCACCCCCCACCACCACCCTCACCTCAAACCCCACCCCTCTGCTATGGTTTTCTTGTGTATGTAGATATATGTTAAGATGACAGACGTTGATCTTTGTCATGCATTACTGCACATGCTCCAGACATGTGTCACACATATTTCCACAGCAAGACATATGAAGAAATAATCAATGCATGAAACGTCCTGTTAAAAAGATGATCAGCAGGGACCATACATTATGTGTGATGATTATGTCACTTGTTGTCGGCCTACCAAACAATATCCAAATAATGCGATCTAGTCAGGTTGAAGGGGAGAGCATAATAAGAGTTACCTCCCTTCTGTGTAGGCATTGATACTGAGAGACAAAAGCAATGGAAAGAATTTGTGCTAGAGGCGTGTCCCCTGCTTGTCTCCCCTAGTTGAAGGTCAAGGGGGGAATCAGGGGAACCTTCATGTGTTCTATGGAGGGTTTTTTGCGTTTAAGTTGACCTTGCTCTTTAAGACATTTTTGTATCTCTAACTTTTGGTTCAGCTTCTTGTGAATAAAGGTTTGGGGAATAATTTCGTTTGAGTTGAGATTTTTCGATAGCAAGGTCAACTTTAACTTGTGTAGCAGACTTGTTAATGATTCTGAATAAACAAATTGACATTTAAAGGTCAATATAGAGAGATGTGTGTATTGACATGGTGTATGGGTCTCTGATCGTTTCCCTAGCCTCCATGCAAGTGTTGTTTTGTTTGAGTCTTGTACAGTCTCTTTATAGGTGTTCCTTGTTTTGAATTTGAACAAATATAATACATGTACATACAGATGTGTCAACTATCTATATTTTGCCTCGCTTATTTACAAATACTGCCTTTTAATGGTTAACTTTTGAAACTAAGTGGTAATATGACTTATTCAAGTAACAGCCTGTCAGTACAGTTCTGATATAAATGATGATTTTATGTTCAATATGAGAGTGGTATGGTTTAAGGGATAACAAGGGTTTATTGTCAGTCTCGGATTTCTTGCCATTTTCCACCAGCTGTGTCTAATATCAACCGTTGGTGGAATAAGATCAAAGATCATGTTCCTTACGTATTTCCTGTGTAGTTTTGCCTCATGAAATGTTAAAAAAAAGTAACATAATTGCTTTGTGCTGCCGTATTCGCCATATTAGGGGTTGTGCTAAAATTGGCACTCACTGACCAAGTTCTAGATATTTTGTAAATATTCTCTATGAGCACACCCTACAAAGACTGAGAATTTACATGCCATGGCATATTGCTTGTGTATGTCACAGAGATTTTTCTTATTATTTACAGAAAACGGAACAGGTATATAAGTGCTTAGTAACTAGTATGGAAGGGTTTTTAGATTCATTGATACTGTTCCCAACCGCTCGATCTCTGGAAGGGCGGTGGGGTAGCCTTGTGATTAAAGCGTTTGCTCGTCAAGCCGAATACCGGGGTTCGATTCCTTTAACGAGTACAATGTGTTAAGCTCATTTCTGGTGTCCCTCGCCATGATATTGCTGGAATATTGCTAAAAGTGGCGTAAAACAATACTCTCTCACTCTCACTCGATCTCTGAAAATATATTTTACTCATTGTTTTTGGTTTTAATAAGCACCCGCTTTGTCACTCATTACGGCACTTATTACAGTGAATACGGTAGGCATATTTTCACCACAGGACACTACATTTGATTGGTGGAGATTAAGTATGATTATGATTATTATCATTACTGAAGTTGTCTTTGTCTGGACTAATCACCAAATATTGGCCTGTAACAGTGAGATTGTGGATTATATGTGCAATGTTGAATGAAGCATTAACATACTTTTGGAATTATTGTACATATGTATTTTTGTCATAAACTTAAATTAATTGGGATATTTGCTATGATTACTGCACGTTATTATTGCCAGATTTTGCTCCCATCAGTTTAGATTGTTTGCACCAGCAAGCATTGTCTCCCTGCAGCCTACTCCTGGAAAATGCTTGTCACGAAGTACAACAGATTGACCCTTTGTCCTGCGGTGAGACGGTTTCGTTGACCCCATGGCCTATGAACCTTGACCTATGAAGCTTAACCATAGGTCCGCCAATATAGATGGCATTATGTGCAATGTGTATTTGTAAGTCTTGAGATGTGTTTATGACTTTGTTATGTTCCTGTTTTTGTTGGCTTATATTTAGTATGCAAGACCGAGATCAACCTGACCACACATAAATTTACGGTGCTCATTTCCATGGTAACCAACCACGATGTCACATACTACTACATCCTAAGGGTTTCCAGCAAGTTTATCTGACAGTTGTTATCTGACCTTTGATTTTCTAGCAAAACGATAACCAGTTTGTACAAATAAGATTTCTCTTGCTGATATTTTGCTGAACACTGTAGATACAGAACATGATGGCACACAATAGATACGTCTCAAAGGCTTTTTCATGAATAAATAACCTGATTTTCGCTCAAGTCTGTAATCAACATCGGGCCACACTTTTGTATTGAATGGGATACAGATTTTTACTGACTATTTAGCTTCACTTGATTGGGAGGAGGTGTAAATTGGGGCTGCTTTGAAAAAAATACTTCGATTTGGCATGAAGTTGTCAGTCTAATGAGAAAATAAAATGCTGATATTGTTTAAAGTGCAGAATGTTTAGTATTTTTACAATGTAAATATATTCGCTTCTGAGCAGGATTTGTCCTCTTTAGAAGACGTTGGCAGTTGCCAGAGACTGAAAACATTGCATTTATTATTCAATAAGTAGACAGCTACTCTGATTTTGTATTCATTTTGTAGTTGTTTATTCTCTTCTCATCTTCAATGATGGGTGGTCAGGCTAATAAAAATATGAAATATTTTTGTTTGATTTTGTGATTGTAAATTTTGAGTCCAGTCAGTTGAATCCGTACATCAAAAACAATATGAAAGTGTCGCCTTTCATTACTGTAGAACTGCCATGAATTGATAGTGCTCAGTATAGGTGTTATATAATGAACAGTTTACTAGGTGTTATGTCAGTAGTCGTATGGTAATTTATTCTCTATAATAATGGGCTTATATCAATTATGTATTCCGTATGGCATTTAATTCAGGTATGATTATACTCCAACCTTGCATGCCCAGCTGCCAATGAAGGGACTGTTTAGTGATCCCCAATCATGCTGCTAGGTGTATAACAAATTATTCAGCAGTGGTCTTGTCAGGTGTAGAGGAAAGTGATTCATCCAGACCTATTGTGGTTTGTTTACAATATTTGGAATTTCCACAACCAGTAGATAAGTATGCAATCAAATACAAATATTTTTGACTACTGACATATAGGAATTTTGTAAATAATTACGAAACAATAGTCAAGTTGTGCCTTTTCATTAGAAAGTTTTTTCGTATTTAAGATTTTTAATAGTTGAGTCTGCCCTCCTGTGTCTACTAGAAGCCATCACTGGGTGTAGACAGGACCTGATCAAGGGCGGCCTTGGGAATTTGCTTCATCTGCTGTGTTTCCTTCGATGTTTCCATTAACATAATTAAAAACACAGATAAATATTGGATTTTATCAGGCAAAACAGTTTCCTTTGATTTTTTATATATATTTTTTACATTTCAAAATCATTTCTTGCTTTAAAAAATGGTTTAAAGACAGTTTTGAATCCATTTCTTATGCCCGCATTCTCCTGGTTGAATGTAGAGAGGTGTAGGAGTACAGCTGTTTTCCCCTCACTTCGCGATGCCTCTGTGAAGCAATCTGGTCGATGGTCTTTACTACACCTGGCTCCAGGTACTCCTTCCTGCTGCATTTAGTACGATTATTTATTGTGATTTTATTATGATATATATCATCAGGCGCTATACTGATTAATAGCTGTGAACCGAATCTTGTGTATGTGCTTGCTCTATTTTCTGAATGGTGGCGAGAACTAGCAGAGTGGTCATTAGATTTCCAAAGTCAGGTCAAGTGTTTCTAAGTTGATAAATTAAAACCAGCTGATAATTTGTTAAAATGATGCATGTCATACCAGTATTCCTCTTGTTAAATCAACATTGTTAAGTATGACTTCACTTTGCTAGTGGCAAGTATTTGTGTGGGCCATTGTTAGCAATAACATGTGCAGCTGCATGACTGGGTTCATCTGTTCAGCTGCAAGGCTGGGTTTCACATGTGCAGCTGCATGGCTGTGATTCACATGTGCAGCTGCAAGGCTGGGTTTCACATGTGCAGCTGTAATCCTGGGTCTCACAATTGCAGCTGTAATCTTGGGTCTCACATTTGCAGCTGTAATCCTGGTTCTCACATGTGCAGCTGCAAGGCTGGGTTTCACATGCTGGGTGTGATCAGTTAATAGACACAGAACATGCAGTGAGGTTTGTGTGGTAATCACAATAGCTAGACAAGAGGATCTTGTGAAAGTTAACAACTAGTCTGATTTGATTGATAGCTCAGTACTCAACATACCCTTTCTACCATGCTGTGTATAATATTTGTGATACTGCTTCTGTAAATGCCCCTTCCCGGCAAGTTCTGACTCTCAGAGTTCTGCGTAGGACTGTAGTTCCAATGGGATAGGGAAATCTTATGTTTACTTGAAATAAAACTTATCATCGCACACATGATGCTTTTGTTGTGATGCCTGTAAATAGTTGAGTCTTGGCTAGACAGACCAGAGATTGATATGATGAACAACATCACACAGAGTTAGGGTATGAGGATGCCCAATCAACAAGCAAGATAACCTGATCCATCCAAGTATTTTTTGGACAACCCTGTTACGTGAGGCGAACTCTGCCCTGGAAACCCCACAAGGTATTCCTTCACTTGATTTTCCTGAGCAACACACAAACATGCATGAAGGAGGAGTATGAAATAAGAACTACCAAAGTTCAGGGAATTTGAATTGGTATTCATGGATATTAGTCCGAAGTTACTGCTTTAACTTGCAACACTGTGTCAGTGAGTCGTGTGGGTACAGGGTAGATATGGAGATTGACGGATATGTCAGACAGTGTCTCCACACCTGACGTGGGTGCAGGGTAGAGATGGAGATTGATAGATACGTCGGACAGTGTCTCCACACCTTACGTTGGTGCAGGGTAGAGATGGAGATTGAAAGATACGTCGGACAGTGTCTCCACACCTTACGTTGGTGCAGGGTAGAGATGGAGATTGAAAGATACGTCGGACAGTGTCTCCGCACCTCACGCGGGTGCAGGGTAGAGATGGCGACAGATAGATACGTCGGACGGTGTCTCCACACCTCACGCGGGTGCAGGGTAGAAATGGAGATTGATAGATACGGCAGACAGTGGCTCCACACCTCACGCGGGTGCAGGGTAGAGATGGCGACAGATAGATACGTCGGACGGTGTTGCAACATGGGTACCTCATCCATGGCCGTTGATAAGAATAGTGTAGCTGTAAAGTCCTTGAAGCGGTCGTAAAATATGCGAAACCGTGAGTATGGTTTCTCGCCGCTTTAAGCAATATCACGGCGGGGGAAATTGGCTTCACACACTGTACCCATTAATGAATAAATTTCTTTATTTCCTCCAGAGTTGAATCCGAAGATCCTACATTGTCAAATACATTATTTAGATTACTTGACAATATACAATGAACTCATATGATACAGTGCTAATGAATACACAACTAACAATGAACACTTTGTGAGCACTGGGGTATATGTGTCAGGTAGATATACATAAGGCATTTCTTCATGCATTTGTAACCGTGATGATACCGTGAAAAATCTGCTCTCTCTCTCTCTCTCTCTCTCTCTCTCTCTCTCTCTCTCTCTCTCTCTCTCTCTCTCTCTCTCTCTCTCTCTCTCTCTCTCTCTCTCTCTCTCTCTCTCTCTCAATGGTTTGTTCATTCTCTGACAGACGTCTAATGACTGTAGCTTGCCAAGCCGATTTAGTTGGGAATGAACCGCTATCAGTATATGCTTTGATTGTGTTGTTTAAAAGATGTTTTAGCAGTAAATAGACGGTTGCTGCATATGCTTACTGAACGGCTAATATTGACAATAACTTTGGTAGCAATGTCAGCACAGAATAGATCCTTTACTATTGAGTTACGCTCGTTGTTACGGAGCCATATACAATTGCAATATACATGTATCTATGTTGTCATTCATTGACCACATTCCCATGTTAGAAATAAACGAATCTGTTCTTCGCCAAATCCGTGTATATGGCGAGCAAAGTAGCGTTGTGTACATTCAACCATTTCAAGTTCTTTACCGTATAAGGCTGGTAACAATTCACATCCATAAACGCTTGCAGATAAAATCATTCTTTTCCATATATTGACACACGCAACTGGGAGGAGATCAGAATCGTTAAGGCCAAATGGTCGCAATGAATTAACACATTTTCTTGCTTTTGAGCAACCGTCATGACTCTTTCTTTACAGAATCCAGGTTCACCCCGATTATGTTTCTAGGTTTGTCAGCACCATACCCGTGCTCGTGGGTTTCACCGAAGTGGTAAACGTCTGAGACCTGCATCATTTCGGGCTTTCCTCCCACATTAAGCTGATACGCCGTGATATAACCGGAATACTGTTAAAAGCGGCGTTAAACCAAATTAACTCACTCACTCACTCTTTCTTTACAGGATAAGTTACTGATTATTCCGCCATACTTGAAAGACGCGGAGGGGTCATTTGTTGCATCGCCAAACTTGTAGCTTACTTTATTATGAATCTGTTGAACAGAATACAAGTGATTTACCCTTAGTCATTATAGGTGAGTCATTACAGGTGAGTCTCCATTTGTTGGCGTATAAACGAACTGAATCAAGTGAAGACTGTTAGCCGCTAGTGGTTGTAGACGTGGGCGTTGTATCATCGGCCAATACAACACAGGGTTTATACACTCCACGAACAGAGAGGTTATTGTTTGCTTCCCTTCATTCACATGAGGGCGGTCGGGTAGCCTAGTGGTTAAAGCATTCGCTCGTCACGCCGAAGACCCGGGTTCGATTCCCGACATGGGTACAATGTGTGAAGCCCATTTCTGGTGTCCCCCGCCGTGATATTGCTGGAATATTGCTAAAAGCGGCGTAAAACCATACTCACTCACTCACTCATTCACATGTCAGATCGTTTATGAAAACGGGAAAGACCCATGCTGGCATAACTGTACCTTGCCCAACACCTAGTTGAATGGAAACTCATCAGATATTTCTCCGTTGTAGGATGTAAAAGCACAGCTGTCCCTAAAGCTATGGAAAAAGTAGGTTCAACAATTTGCCCCTGACACCAACGTCATGAATAGACCGTCGTGGTAATTACGATCAAAAGCTTTTTCATTAAATAAAGATGCAGTAACACTAGCGATTCTTTTCCAGGGGAGAAATCAGCACATTCTAAAACGGCGAATACAGATCGGGTCGGGTAGCCTAGTGGTTAAAGCGTTCGCTCGTCACGCCGAAGACCCGGGTTCGAATCCCGACATGGGTACAATATGTGAAGCCCATTTCTGGTGTCCCCCGCCGTGATATTGCTGGAATATTGCTAAAAGCGGCGTAAAACCAAACTCATTCACTCACTCGTCTGGCCACCCTCATTTTTCAAGGGGGCTTCAAATGTATCTATATACACTTTAGGGGATATGGTTAGAGCTACCTTCGAAAGACATTCACTTAGCTCTGCGTTATAATGTTCTGTGAGTGAGTGAGTTTGGTTTTACGCCGCTTTTAGCATATTCCCGCAATATCACGGCGGGGGACACCAGAAATGGGCTTCACACATTGTACCCATGTCGGGAATCGAACCCGGGTCCTTGGCGTGACGGCCGAACGCTTTAACCACTAGGCTACCCGACCTAGTGCTCTATGACATCAGGTTGAACGTGGTCCTATACACACGGAGGAGAGAAGTGTGTCAACTTCTTTTGTGTACATACTTATGTGCAATTCGTCGGCTGTGTGCCACTTGAAACATGTATCCACATTGGGTGGAGTTTGATGTGTGCATCGCATACAGACAAGGCAAGGGGAGTGGTCCGAAGTATCGTACTGACATTGATGAAGTATGCTGCAGCGGATGATGATGCAGATACTTCTGTTGGATGGTATCAGGGCATAGTTGATGAGTGATGTATTAACATTGTGTTTACTTCTGTACGTATACCCGTGATCTGTGTTTCATAAGTTATGAGTTACACTACCGAGGTGCAGATGTATGGAATACTGTAAGGGACAGTTTGGCCAAATCTCGCATTCTCGTGTTTTGGGCATATTTAGCTCGTTTCCAAAGGTCGAGATCTCGAGAATGCGAGATCGCGTGAATGTCCCTTACAGTATTCCATACATATGACCTATTACCTTTTGGAGAAGGTTATCACGAGGAGACATATTATTCGTTGGTCCTTGAAGCGGCCGTAAAATATGCGAGTCTTACTCATACGCAGGACACGTTTGTCTTGTGTGAAGAGCGAGTATGGTTTTTCGCCGCTTTTAGCAATATCACGGCGGGGAGAAATTGGCTTCATACATTGTACCCATGTATGTATAAATATGTTTGTAATATTCCATTCTTCTGGAAAACAGCCATGCTAGTTCCTGTGTCTTGTCGGGACATGGGGGTTCCAGGTAGGAATTGCTCCCCAGTTAGCTGCGCTTGTCGACTTTGTGGATTGGATGGTCATGCCATGTGACTTGGATGATTGCGTGTTATCGTACCCCGACGTTGCACACAACATAAAACCCCTGGTTTGTCTGCTCCAGACTCGATCATTTACAAGTTGTGAGTCAGCTGGACTATTGCTGTGTTACGAAGCAATCAGGTGTGTGTGTCTGTGTGTGTGTGGCTGCTTGTACTAGTCTGGACTAATGCCGATTTATATGGTGCTAGCCCACTGAAACACCATGCCACAGTTTAACATGAATACCCCACTCAGACTCAGTATACTGACTCCGAGCCGATCAGTCCTTGTTTCAGCCCCTAAATGCCGAGCGCCAGACAGGGCAACAACAAGTACCATATTTTAACTATTGTGGTATGACGCGGCCGGGGTTCAAACCCCGGACCTTCCGCTCTCCGGGCGCACGCTCTACCACTAGACCACGGAGTAGGTCACGAAACAATCAAACATATGTGATTATAAACCAAAACAACTCATTGACGCAATTCTTTGTAAAACAAATGGTGAACCTAACAGTGAGTGGGTGGGTGGGGGCAAGGGGTAGCAAGCTGGGCACCAGTTACGAGAATATCTCACGACTACGGTGGCCCATAAGGGACATGGAGTCTGTTTTTTAATATTTTGATATTTCACTTACTTTTATCGTAACCTTTTGTAAATTAACACAATTTGTCATACAAATATGGGATAAATCATGCATAAAAACAACCGAAAACATGGAAAATGTACTTTCAAGTAGCTATTGAATCGCTGAAATGTGAAGCGAAAAAGTCAAAAACTAAAATGAAAATGTCAAAGACAAAAACGAAAATGTCAAAAACAAAAGCGAAAATGTCAAAAACTGAAATGAAAATACAGAAAACTATTTCCACCGCGGTGAGAATATTATCACCGCGGTGGAAATAGTTTTCGGTATTTTCATTTTAGTTTTTGACATTTTCGCTTCACTTTTCAGCGATTC